GACATCCTCATATTTTCGAAGGACATGAGTGAACACCAGCAGCACGTTCGGCAGGTCCTCCAATGCCTTCTCCGTCACCAGCTCTACGTCAAGGCGGAGAAGTGTGTGTTCCACACTGAGACAGTCTCCTTCCTGGGGTTCATCGTCACCCATTGGGACCTACAGATGGACCCAGCCAAGGTCAGCGCGGTACTGGATTGGCCCCAGCCCTCATCCCTCAAGCAACTTCAACAGTTTAGGGTTTGCTAATTTTTATTGGCGATTTATTCGCAATTTTAGCTCCCTAGCCGCCCTCCTGACAGCCCTCACCCAGACGAGCGTACGCTCCTTCGCCTGGACCCCGGAAGCGGGGAACGCATTTGATACACTGAAGCGGCGCTTTACATCGGCCCCGGTCCTCGGGCATCCTGATCCATCCCTGCCCGTTCATTGTGGAGTTGGATGCTTCAGACGTTGCAGTGGGAGCAATCCTGTCCCAGCGGTTCCTCAATGACGGTAAGACTCACCCCCTGCTAAGGGGGATACGCGCGCCTACGTGGCTGCTCTGTTTGAATGAACACTTTTCATCTATTCGTTCTGCAGCTATGTTTAATTTGACTATTTGACTAATTTTTCCCCTGCTTTGACTATGGCAATAGTAATTTTCTATCTGACAGCCTGCGTGACAGTTTAGCGGTTGAATTTTAATCACATTTCTCAATAAAAAATGCCCAGACAGGCTAGGTGTACTTCCCAAATGGCACCCTATTCCTTCTATAGTGCACTACTTTTGACCAACAATTGGGAATTGCAAAATTGTGATTTTGATGTGTGCTTGGGGTTATTGCCTTGCTGGAAGTTTCAGCTTCCTGGTGTGACAGAGGGGATACAAACCCTGAGTCTACCGCAGGAGAAACCAACGTCTTACCACTAAACCAAGAGGAAATTCCCTCTTGGGCCGAGGGCAGACATTGATTTTGAAGTCATGTGACCATGAGCAACCATTCTTCGCTATACTGGCAGAGGCAACCAGCATTTTGTCTAAATACTGTACATTAGAAATGTGTTTAAACATTATGCTGACCACGCTATCACAAGACAGCCTTCTTCTTCTAAAACAATTTGATCTGAAAATGGATCACTGACTCTAGAACTGAACGATGACAGAACATTAGTTTATCATGTGGATACACAAGGAAGCATTCTGTCATAATTGTAATTCATATCAGTCATCCAAAACAGCAACTCTTGATCTTTGATAAAATAAAGTCAATATGTCATTATTTACCTTGCTGAAATATATTTCTGATGCTTCTGATATCCTTATTAGGGAATATGGAAAGATTTATTCTCTGTGGAAACAAGTGAAAACAGTTAATACAAGGAAGGAATTGATGTAGAGGCCTGCGATGGCTATCCTAATGGGACTCGCACACCCAAGTGACGATTAGAGTCTGCCTGATGTTGCAACAAACTAGCCGAGTCTGACCATCCTGATATCCTGAATTTACAGTGCCAGACAAATATATTGACAACCTTGCACTTTTCTGAAATAGTTTCCTATTTCTTCTAAAGTACGTTTTTTTACTTTTTATTTTATTTTTAACTTTGGTCTCCACACCTTGTTGTTAGATTTTTAACATTGCAAAGTGAATGTTAGACAAATCTTTATAGACACGAAACTAGGCGTTTTCCAATGGACGAGCTAAGAGGAAAGACATCCAATAGCATCCAGGAAGCAGGTTCCTGATGATGATGACGCTACTGTCTTGGTGTTTGAAGAAGAGGAAGGACTCCTATGGATTCCTTATTTCTACATTTACATTTACATTTTAGTCATTTAGCAGACGCTCTTATCCAGAGCGACTTACATATTATTATTTTTTATTTTTTTATACTGGCCCCCTGTGGGAATCGAACCCACAACCCTGGCGTTGCAAACGCCATGCTCTATCAACTGAGCTACATCCCTGCCGGCCATTCCCTCCCCTACCCTGGACGACGCTGGGCCAATTGTGCGCCGCCCATGAGTCTCCCGGTCGCGGCCGGCTGCGACAGAGCCTGGATGTTAGATGTTAGAGCCTACATGTTAGAAAGACATGTTTGTTCTACGGAATGGCGTAATTCTATGTCAAATCAAACTTTATTTATAGAGCACATTTTTTTTACAAGTTAATGCATTTCAAAGTTCTTAAAACAAAAAGTTAAATAATAAATAAAAATGACAAAGATAAGATAGATGATCTAGACAAATTTAAATGGTAAAATGAAACTGAACATATCAAAATAATAATAGGACAATAAAACAACAGTGAAACCAGAGAGACTGTTGGAAGGAAAATAAATAAGATAAATACAATTTATTAAAGCAAATAAAATTAAAATGTCTATTGTCTCTGAGGCCCTCAGATCCTCCAGCAGGCTGTTCCAACAGCCTGGTCTCATAGACTAGACATAACATAGTTAATCCGGGACACTCAAATTAGTATGATATGTTATGTTTGGTATGGCTACATAAGACAGATGGTTACTTAAGGCAAAAACAAAAGTAGGGTGGTTGTTCGGGGTGGACGTATAACGTGAAATGTTGCGAGTTCGAATCTCATCAAGGACAAGTTTAGCATTTTAGCAACGTTTCAACTACTTACTACTTTGCAACTACTTAGCATGTTAGTTAGCCCTTCCCCTAACCTTAAGCCTTTAAGCTAATCCTTCCCCTAACCCTTTAATTTAACTCCTAAACTTAACCCTAACCTTAACCCCTAGCCTAGCTAACATTGGCCAGCTAGTTAATGTTAACCACCTAATTAGAATTTGTAACATATCATACGTTTTGAACATTTGTAAAATATTGTACGTTTTGAAAATTCTTAACATTTTATTGTAATTTGAAACATATCTGTTACAGGGGGGGGTCGCAGTTCCGGAGTGACCGACTAGGTGTCATCCTCCGACAACCTTAGGCACCTCCTCACTCACAGTCTGGACTTATCATGATCCTATTGGTGTCACCTGTGTCTACCTGTTCACCTGTGTATTTATGCCCTCACTTCCCTTGCTCAGTTTTCTCTGCTAGTTTCACTATGCCAAGTAGTACTAATCAGTGTCTGATCGCGGGACGTATGGACAGGTACGTGAGAAGTGTTCTCCCTGTTTAGTTATTATTTCAGTCACAGTTAGTATTTCATATTTTGGCTGGCAGCCTGTTTTTTTGAGTCTTATTTGTTCCGGCTTTCTTTTTCGTGTAAAGTCCGTTATTTTGTATCCTGGTTTTTGGACCATCAGTAAAGATCCTTGTTTCACCATCTCTGCCTACTGTCTATCCTGCACCGCACCTGGGTCACATCTCACACCAACCCTTACACATATCATTTGAAATGAGTGATGGACATCCACAAATTATCACATACCATACAAAATGTAACATATCATACTAAATGGAGTGTCTCGGATTTACGTACAGAATACGAAATGCTCTTAGACCAGGTTGGTTCCAAAGGCCAGAACGATAATGACTGAACGCAGCCACACCAAATGTTTTAAAACGTTGCATCTTGCTGAACCCGCCCGAGAACAGCAGAGTGGAGAAGAGTCAGGATGTTATAGGTTGAACAGGGAGGAGCGTTGGCTGTCGTAGTTCCAAAAGACAAAACTATGTTGAAAGGCTATAAGACATATTTCATGAACTTAAATAATATTATGAAAATATTGATGTGCATTTTGTTATAAAGCAGGTGATCGGCATCTTGAAGGGGAGGTTCCATATTCTTGATGGGCTACTTCCTCTTCAGTTTGTGAAGACTCTGCGGGATGAAATGGAAAACAGGGAGGTGGCCACAATTGACATAATTGTATGTGTGTGCAGCTTTGATATTGTCATCTCCATTCTCATTGACACAACCTAATGAAACCATTCTGAAAATGTGGTATGGTATTTATTAAAGGATAGAAAAAGGTATATAACTTGTTTGAAACACAGCTGGCGTACAAAGACCATAAACTAGTTTCATGTAAACTTCATTTTATGATATACTTCAAGTAACTATTGATGCATTATAGCTGAGGTTCTTCACCTTAGGGTTTTAAGGCACATTTATAAACACTCCCCTACTATTTATTTGGACAGTGAAGCTAAAACCTTTCATTCTGGCAGATTGACTCTTTCATTCAATCAGTTTTATTGAATATAGCATGGTTTTTATGATTTTGTGGCACAAGTACACGTTACCAGTTGTAAATAGGTTGTTGAAATGAAAGTGAGGAGCCGTCAACAGTCAAACATGAAAACCATTTCACAAATCAATTAGGAGGAAAAGCTTGTCAAAATACCTTCTGTACCACATTTTCACATAGAAAGTGTTACAGAAAAACTATGCAATTATTAACTATTTGTTTAATCTGGTCTGAGACAACATTAAAGAGCGACTGAACGCAGTAATTCCACGTTTCTCTGTTGCTCATTAAGAAAAAAACGAGATTTCAGACTTGGGGGTGGGGTTCGATGTGGCAGTTAATGATGTTTCTCCCCCATGAGACACCATAGGAACGATGCTGGTATTACTTCCTCAAAATACTCAGAATGAATCTAAGATAACTCAAGAAGTCTAATTTTGACATTTTTGCAGAGGATGTTTTAGTTGTGTAATTTTACATATAGCTAAGGTGTTTGACGCAGTATTTCTCAGGTTAAACAAAGTGTAAACAAAGTGAGATGGGCAGGTGTGTCTCACCATGTGTGTTCTGCGGTGGATTGGATAGAGCGCAATCACCGCAGCTGTGTATCCAGTGTTAGTGGGCAAGTGAGCATTGTTGAAATCAAAACCCAACCCTAAAGTAAGTTATAACGAACTCACTTACAAAACTCTGTTTTGGACGAGACTGAATTTATGAACTAAATTATCCTATTTACAATTTGTAGTCTATTTTGACAATAGAATAAATGTTTCTGACTCATATCGGTGCTACATAGGCCTTTTTATATCAGAAGATGTTTATTGCCTTCAGTTGCGCTTTAAACTTGTGTGTGGATCCCCAGGGTATGCGGGTACCACGTATTGAGACACTGGACTCTCTCCTATGTGAGTTTTCTGATGTGACTTCATGCTAGAGCGCTGGGTGAAGCATTTCCCACACTGTGTGCACTTGAAGGGCTTCTCCCCGCTGTGGACCACAGCATGTCTGATCAGGTTGCACTGCTGGGTGAAACTCCTGCCACACTGTTCGCAGGTGTACGGTTTCTCGCCGGTGTGACTCCGGAGGTGTACTTTGAGCTGGCAGAAACGCTGGAAGCTCTTCCCACAGAAGGTGCAGCTGAAACGCCTCTCGGTGGTGCCACCCGACCTCCACTGAGTCCTCATTCTCTTCACCATGTTAAAACTACTGTGACTCAGGCTGTATCCAGAGAAGGTGGAGGTGGTGGCCATGTTTGACCCTGTCATGCATTCACTCAATCTCACTGTTGATTCTGAAGCAGTGTGTTGATGCTGCCTTGGCTGTAGGGCTAAACTATTTCCTTCATTATTTGAGTTCAGCCTCTCGCTGCTCTGTCCCTCTGGCATCTGTTGTCTAGTCATATCAGCCATTGTCCTGATATGTCTTTTCATGTGTGCTGCTGCACTGAACATGTTAGCATGTGGTTTCACTATAGAAGAGTGAAGCGATGGCCCTACATCATCTGTCATAGTAGGAACAGATGGCAGCCTACTACAAGATGGGAAAATCGAGATATTCTGAGAGTACTCTTCTGTGGAATGAAAGGAGAAATCTGGGTGGCCATCAGGGTCAGTGTCTCTGCCTGGATCCACAGAGGTCCACAGCTGCCCATCAGTCTCATCCATAACAAACTGGTCAGGTCCTGCCAGGGCCATGGTCTGATCTAGCTCCTCCTCTTTCTCATCCTTCACCATCACTAGGTCTAGTGAGTCTTTGTCCTCGGCTGGCCGGTGTTGCTCTGTGCTGAACACCTCTGTAGATGTGAGCCGGGGTGTGCCTGGTTCCTCTGAACAATCAGAATTGGGGTAATGTTCCACTGAGTCTTCGGGAGATATGTTGGGTTGTGTGATAAAGTCCTCATCACAGTGCCGTTGTTCAAAAGATAGTGGTTTCCCAGGCTTGGAACCAGACTCTAAAGATTTGGGGATAAACATTAAATAAACATTACAAAAGACCCTTAACAGTTGGAAAACATGACTGCTTTAGAACTGACTGTGTGTCCGTGCGCTCCATATGCCAGAACATAAAACACCCAACACTAATGTAGCAATTTGGGACGTGCATACCACCACACCCACACAGTCTTCCATAGACAGACAGAGCAGTACCCCTTATGGTTTCACCCACCCTCTCCAGTGACCCTGAGCTCTTCCTGATGGTCAGTCTTCCACACGTCCTCTGCTGTCTCCTCATCTTTGATCAGTATGGGTTCAGTCTCCACTCTCTGCTCCACATCTGTAGGCTGTAACAGGGGACTGAGGTTATTACTCTGGACACAAACCATATCTAACCATTTTCATACTCATGAACCATACAAAAGCAGTAAATTCTCCTGATATTCCAATAACAGAATTGATCCGAGGTCAGAGGCCTCATTTATAAACCGTGCATATGTACAAAATATACCCCAAAACATGCGTGCACCAGTTTTCACGCAAAAGTTGACATTTATAAAAACCGAACATGTCGTGAGAATGTGCTCACCTTCCCACAAACTTTAGACCACGCCTACGCAGTTTCTAGTGGTTGAAGTATTGCATTGCAAGCAGGCAAGTAGCCTAGTATTTTGTGCAAATAGGGGTTAAGAAGAGCATGTTTGTCCATAACAAATAACAGGTTAATAACAAGATGCAATCGTTTGCCGTTAGTGAGAAGAGAGAACATCAATTTTGTTTATCTTTGTATTATAAAATAATTAGAAATAGGCATCTATTGCCTAGGCTATTATTTATTTCATTTCCATGATCATTGCAGAATAAATTCCTCACCTTTTCTGTGATGGTTTCATACTCATCAGGTAGCCTATAGGCCTACAACAAGTTAGATACCATTCTCCCTGTCTCTAATTTAATTGGCCCACTTCACAGTAGTAAATAGATAAGCTATTTCAAGTATTTTGCTCTATGCCATCTGATCTAGAGCGCAGTTTAAGTTTATACATTTCTATATTTTTGTACATGCGCAGTCTTTTCAGTAATGGCGCACGCAGATATTTAGTGTGAAATGTATGCAACAGTTATGAGGCCCCTGGATTTCTGTAATTGTACAAGGTGATGTATCACACCTCGGGTTGAGAGCCCTCTCCAACAGCCAGCTCTTCGTCTCTCCACTGTGAGCTACTCCTCTGCTTGTTCAAAACTATCTTGACTGGATATGAAGATCTCTCTGATGCCATGGGGTAAAAAACTGGAAAATAATTATATTCAGTCAAATATTAGGGCTATTCACACGTGTTTTTATTCAGTTGCTCCATGATGCAATCAAATTACTATGAATAACAACACATCTATATACCTTTTCTCCTGACTCGTCCTCGCGTCTTCTTCAACTCGCTCTCCATCATTTGACACTTCCTTTTCAGTAAATCAATATCTCGCTGGCTTTGGGTCATTTCCAAACGTATAACTGCACAACTATCATCTACACGTTGGTTTATTTCTGCTACCGCTGCTTTAGCTAATACCTCCATAACGGATACCAACTGCGCCTGAAAATTGCAGCTGGCCATCTTGTCCAGCCCAGTATTCTCTGTTATTAAGTAAATATGTTACAATTTTTGTAGCTAGCCAATGTGCAATAAATACTCAATTAATTTACACAATGGTAAATGTTGATATTGGCCCAATTTGGCATATGTAAGAGATCGATTAAGGCAAACAAAGTTTCAAGTTGGAGATGCGTGCGCAATCGCACTTCCGTTCAACTCGTGACGTACTTCTTCTTCTTCAGTGGGGTTTATCGGCGGTTGGCAACTCGTGACATAAGTATTTATTACCGTAAATATGAGACTGCAACAGCCCTTCCAAATTGGGAGAGTTTAGCACTGGCAAGGCAAATACCAGGGTGTATACGCTTCAGTCACGCAGGCGCTATTTTGAAACGAAGGCGAGGCAGGAAATCCTATGGGTGAACCACGGAAGTAAGCCCAGGCAATGCATTGTTGTTGCGTGATGGTAGCTAGTGAAAGATTGCATGTCGTACTGCTGTGTACCTGAATGCACCTCATACAAGAGGAGAAAAATCTGGTAACCTCTATTTTCAACGGTTCCCTACCTACCCACAACTCCGTTGCGAGTGGATCATCCAAATACGCAAGGATATAACATATATTCAAAAAGCCACGAAGTTTGCGTACTTAATGTATATTATAGATCACGGAAAACACCAAAGTGTGCTCTAAACGTGACAGTAATAAATGTTTCTGAATTGTCCATAGTTGACATTTAACAAATCTTTAAACTATTTTACACCTGCCAATCTCTTATGAAAGTAGGCTACATTATCCCCACTTCTGTTGTCACCAGAAAATCCAAGTTCACAAATATCCTGACAGTTCCTTCTTCAGTTCCAACCATGTTGCAGAGCTACCATTCCCAAATCATGATTACACACAGAAGTCCCTGCCTTTGGAAGAGCGTGATGAAATAGATTGTCTGGCAAAGGAGAATGACTCACTAAGAAGCCAACAGTTTTGTCTCCAACGTTTCCAGTGTGAACCCAGGTTCATGTTCTACACTGGGTTCAAAGACTGATACCCTGAAAGCCAATTTCCAGGCTTAGAGCACATTTGATAGCTGATCCCCCTGACATTCGCAGGTTCAGTCAACCAGCTGTGGTATGTCCTGTACTCAACTTTCCAAGGGCCAGTTTTAAGGAACACTTATCATGTGCCCCTACCCACCTCCACTATATGTGCATGAATGAAGAATTGTCTTGTTTATTGTAAGAATTTCTAAATTTGTGTAACCCTCTGTCATTTGTCTAACCCTCAATGTACAGCTCCACTGTAACACTTAATGAAGAACCCTATATTTCTGTGATGTACAGTATATCAATCATTTCTACCTGAAAATAATACCATAAATGTTTTTCCAAACAATGACTATTTAATTATCAAAATGCATGTCTCCAGCGTCAATCATTTCACAAGAATTATAAACACAGTTCATTAAAAGCTCAAGCTTCAAACATTGGCTAATTCAATTATAGCCATTTAAAAAAAGATTCAATCATGTAACTGGAATTAAACACATTTCAAAGTCAAGTAAATCACTGAATCAAGTAAACACAATTATTTATTATCACCATGACACCAGGGTAGCACCTCTCCACCTACCAGTGGGATTCTTCGTTCTCTACCTGCACAGGGCTGGCAGGAAGTGCTAAAAAAAGAAGTGGTCCAACTTGGTCATCATGTCTGCCCACTTTTCAGACTCTAAAGGAAATAATGGTTGCATTTCACAAAAAATTATGTTTAAGGCCAGTAAGGTGTACATACATCTAGCAGTTGCTTCCTATTGCAGCAAGGTTTGGCATAAGTGGTGGTCCTCTGTAGCTCAGCTGGTAGAGCACGGCGCTTGTAACGCCAAGGTAGTGGGTTCGATCCCCGGGACCACCCATACACAAAAAAAAAAAATATGTATGCACGCATGACTGTAAGTCGCTTTGGATAAAAGCGTCTGCTAAATGGCATATTATTATTATTATTATAAGGTTTGTAGCAAACTATTTACTGGGCAATGGTGTAGGGACTGGACAATACATAATTGGCACAATCCCCTCAAGCCCTCCGGACCTTGTTGGCAGGTGCATTGTCTTTCCTTGGTGACTTTACTTTAGATCATTTAACTGTATTACAAGTTTGGAATTCAGGCCTGCCATACACGGGGGAATGTGCCATGATAGAGAGAATGGTGCCGGAGGAGATGGCTGCCGTTTTACGGGCTCCTAACCAATTGTGCTATTGTGTGTGCTTTTTTGTGTTATTTGTAACTTATTTTGTACATAATGTTTCTGCCACCGTCTCTTATGACCGAAAAGAGCTTCTGGATATCAGGACAGCGATTACTCACCTCGTACTGGACTAAGATTTTTTCTTTAACGAGTCGGACGCGAAGGATTTTCTTCAGACACCCGACAAGGCCCAAATCCCCATCATTCACATGAGAAAGAGACTGAGATATCAGGGACATAGGTCGAGGTGCCTTGTAAGGATCAGACGGCGAGTGGTTAATCTGCCTCTACCATCAGTCCTATTACCCAACGTACAATCATTGGATAACAAAATAGACTAATTACAATCACGGATATCCCACCAACGGGACCTTAAAAACGGTAATATCTTATGTTTCAACGATTCGTGGCTGAACGACGACATGGATAACATACAGCTGGTGGGATATACGCTGCATCGGCAAGATAGAACAGCTGCCTCCAGTAAGACAAGGGGTGGAGATCTGTGTATATTTGTAAACAACAGTTGGTGCACGAAATCTAATATTAAGGAAGTCTCGAGGTTTTGCTCGCCTGAGGTAGAGTATCTCATGATAAGCTGTAGACCACACTATTTACCAAGAGAGTTTTCATCTATGTTTTTTGTAGCTGTCTATTTACCACCACAAACGGATGCTGGCACTAAGACCGCACTCAATGAGCTGTATAAGGTCATAAGCAAACAGGAAAACGATAATCCACAGGCAGCGCTCCTAGTGGCTGGGGACTCTGTTTTACCTCATTTCTACCACACACAGAGACACGTACAAAGCTCTCCCTCGCCCTCCATTTGGCAAATCTGACCATAACTCTATCCTCCTGATTCCTGCTTACAAGCAAAAACTAAAGCAGGAAGCTTTCGGTCAATAAAGAAGTGGTCAGATGACGCAGATGCTAAGCTACAGGACAGTTTTGCTAGCACAGACTGGAATATGTTCCGGGATTCTTCCGCTTGAGGAGTACACCACATCAGTCACTGGCTTCATCAATAAGTGCATCGATGACGTCGTCCCCACAGTGACCGTACGTACATACCCCAACCAGAAGCCATGGATTACAGGCAACATCCGCACTGAGCTAAAGGGTAGAGCTGCCGCTTTCAAGGCACGGGACTCTAACCCGTATGCTTATAAGAAATCACGCTATGCCCTCCGACGAACCATCAAACAGGCAAAGCGTCAATACAGGACTAAGATTGAATCGTACTACATCGGCTCTGATGCTCGTCGGATGTGGCAGGGCTTGCAAACTATTACAGACTACAAAGGGAAGCACAGCCGCGAGCTGCCCAGTGACACGAGCCTACCAGACGAGCTAAATGACTTATTTTTTTTCGTGGTATCCAATTGGTAGTTACAGTCTTGTCCCATTGCTGCAACTCCCATACGGACACGGGAGAGACGAAGGGCGAGAGCCGTGCGTCCTCTGAAACACAACCCAACCAAGCCGCACTGCTTCTTGACACAATGCCCGCTTAACCCGGAAGCCAGCCACACCAATGTGTCGGAGGAAACACCATACACCTGGCGACCGAGTCAGCGTGCACTGCCCGCCACAGGAGTCGCTAGTGCGCGATGGGACAACAACATCCCTGCCGGCCAAACCCTCCCCTAACCTGGACGACGCTGGGCCAATTGTGCACCGCCCCATGGGTCTCCCGGTCGCGGCTGGCTGCGACAGACAACCATAGTCCCTGTGCCCAAGAACACTAAGGTAACCTGCCTAAATGACTACCGACCCGTAGCACTCACGTCTGTAGCCATGAAGTGCTTTGAAAGGCTGGTCATGGCTCACATCAACAACATTATCCCAGAAACTCTAGACCCACTCCAATTTGCATTCCCCCCCAACAGATCCACAGATGATGCAATCTCTATTGCACTCCACACTGCCCTTTCCCACCTGGACAAAAGGAACACCAACGTGAGAATGCTATTCATTGACTACAGCTCAGCGTCCAACACCATAGTGCCCTCAAAGCTCATCACTAAGCTAAGGACCCTGGAACTAAACAACTCCCTCTGCAACTGGATCCTGGACTTCCTGACGGGCCGCCCCCAGGTGGTAAAGGTAGGTAACAACACATCTGCCACGCTGATTCTCAACACGGGGGCCCCTCAGGGGTGTGCGTGCTCAGTCCCCTCATGTACTCCCTGTTCACCCATGACTGTATGGCCAGGCACGACTCCAACATCATCATTAAGTTTGAAACGACACAACAGTGGTAGGCCTGATCACCGACAACGATGATACAGCCTATAGGGAGGAGGTCAGAGACCTGGCCGTGTGGTGCCAGGATAACAACCTCTCCCTCAACGTGATCAAGACAAAGGAGATGATTGTGGACTACAGGAAAAAGAGGACCAAGCACGCCCCCATTCTCATCGACAGGGCTATAGTGGAGCAGGTTGAGACCTTCCAGTTCCTTGGTGTCCACATCACCAACAAACTATCATGGTCCAAACACACCAAGACAGTTGTGAAGAGGGCACGACAAAGCCTATTCCCCCTCAGGAGACTGAAAAGATTTGCCATGGGTCCTCAGATCCTCAAAAAGTTATACAGCTGCACCATCGAGAGCATCCTGACTGGTTGCATCACTGCCTGGTATGGCAACTGCTCGGCCTCCGACCGCAAAGCACTACAGAGGGTAGTGCGTAAGGCCCAGTACATCACTGGGGCCAAGCTTCCTGCCATCCAGGACCTCTATACCAGGCAGTGTCAGAAGAAGGCCCAAACAAAGACTCTAGCCACCCTAGTCATAGACTGTTCTCTCTGCTACCGCACGGCAAGCGGTACCGGAGCGCCAAGTCTAGGTCCAAAAGGCTTCTTAACAGCTTCTACCCCCAAGCCAGAACAGCATCTCGGAATGCACAACTTGTCAATCCTTGTCACGGATGGGATATTGCAGCAGACGACCACACCGGGTCTCACTCCTGTCAGCTTAAAAACAAGACGAAGCGGCTCCAGTGGGCACGCGTTCACCAACACTGGACAATTGAGGAGTGGAGAAACATTGCCTGGTCCGACGAATCCCAGTTCCTGTTGCGTCATGCGAGGTCAGGATTTGGACCCATCCTGCCTGGTGTCAACAGTACAGGCTGGTGCATATTAGCTAGTGTGTAGAAGAAGATAGCAAGTAGTGTCGATTGAGCTGCATGATAGAATATGAAAAGAAAACACCCTCCCTACGATCAAAGATGGGGGAGGTTTGATAATGCTGTGGGGTTGCTTTGCTGCCTCTGGTATTGGGGGCATTGAACATGCGCGAGGCATCATGAAATTAAGCCGATTATCAGATGTTTGGAGTCCAACGTTCAACCCAGTGTGCAAAAACTGGATCTCTGTTGAAAGTTGTGGGTCTTCCAGCAGGACAACGACCCCAAATACATATCAAAAAGCACCCAGGAATGGTTCAAGAGATGCTGGACTGTTTGAGTGGCCAGCAAAGAGTCCAGATCTGAATCACATCCAAAACCTATGGCGAGATCTGAAAACAGCAGTTAGTGGAGGGCAACCCTCAAAAATGGAAGAATTAGAGCAGTTTTCTGCTAAAACGTGGGCCAAATTGCCAGTGGAAAGGTGCAGCAAGCTCATTAATGGCTACAAGAAGCGTTTGTCTGCAGTTATCTTGGCCAAATGCTGTGTAACCAAGTATTAGCTCCAGGGTGCAAATAATTGTATCTATGCCATTTGTCTTTATTTTCTGAATTAAAATTGTAAACTTAAGTTTACAAAAATAAAATTGGTTCTGCAATGTTGAAAATCCAATAACAAGGTGCGGTGAACAAACATTTTGTTGTTCAATTTCAACTTATTTTATAAGAAATGGGAAAAGTGCAAGGGTGACAATATATTTGGCCGCAACTGTATAATATTGATCTAAAAGTACAGATGGATTCTTTCATTAAATCAATTGTATTGAATATAACATTATTTTTTATGATTTTATGGTACAAAAAACACTTTACCAGTTGTAAATAGGTTGTTAAAATAAAAGCGGTCAACAGTCAAACATGAAAACCATTTCACAAATCAATTAGGAGGAAAGCTTGTCAAAATGTCTCAGAAAACCTTCTGTACCACATTTTTCACATAGAAAGTGTTACAAAAAAAACAATGCAATTATTAACTATTTGTTCCATCTGGTCTGAGGCAACATTAAACTTGTGTGTGGATCCCCAGGGTATGCGGGTACCACGTCTTGAGACACTGGACTCTCTCCTATGTGAGTTTTCTGATGTGACTTCATACCGGAACGCTGGGGGAAGCATTTCCCACACTGTGTGCATTTGTAGGGCTTCTCCCCGCTGTGGACCACAGCATGTCTGATCAGGTTGCACTGCTTGGTGAAACTCCTGCCACACTGTTCACAGGTGTATGGCTTCTCTCCGGTGTGACTCCGGAGGTGTACTTTGAGCTGGCAGAAACGCTGGAAGCTCTTCCCACAGAAGGTGCAGCTGAAACGCCTCTCGGTGTTGCTGCCCGACCTCCACTGAGTCCTCATTCTCTTCACCATGTTAAAACTACTGCGACTCAGGCTGTTTCCAGAGGTGGAGGTGGTGGCCGTGTTTGACGCCGTCTTGCACTCACTCAATCTCACTCTTGATTCTGAAGCCCTGTATTGATGCTGCCTTGGCTGTAAAGCAAAACTATTTGTGTCATTATTTGAGTTCAGCCTCTCTCTGCTCTGTCCCTCTGGCATCTGTTGTCTAGTCTCATCAGCCAATGTACTGACATGTCTTGTCATGTGTGATGCTGCACTGAACATGTTAGCATGTGGTTTCCATAAAGAAGAGTGACGCGATGGCCCTACATCATCTGTCATATTAGGAACAGATGGCAGCCCACTATGAGATGGGAAAATCGAGATATTCTGAGAGTACTCTTTTGTGGCATGAAAGGAGAAATCTGGGTGGCCATCAGGGTCAGTGTCTCTGCCTGGATCCACAGAGGTCCACAGCTGCCCATCAGTCTCATCCATAACAAACTGGTCAGGTCCTGCCAGGGCCGTGGTCTCATCCAGCTCCTCATCCTTCATCATCACTAACTCTAGTGAGTCCTCGTCCGGCCGGTGCTGCTCTGTGCTGAACACCTCTGTAGACGCGAGCCGGGGTGTACCTGGTTCCTCTGGACGATCAGAATTGCGGTAATGTTCCACTGAGTCTTCAGGAGATATGTTGGGTTGTGTGATGAAGTCCTCATCACAGTGCCGTTGTTCAAAGGATGGTGGTTTCCCAGGCTTGGAACCAGACTCTAAAGATTCGGGGATAAACATAAAAAAAACATTAAAGACCCTTAACAGTTGGAAAACATGACTGCTTTAGAACTGACTGTGTGTCCGTGCGCTCCATATGCTAGAACATAAAACACCCAACACCAATGTAGCAATTTGGAACATGCATACCACAACACCCACACAGTCTTCCATAGACAGACAGAGCAGTACCCCTTATGGTCACACCCACCCTCTCCAGTGACCCTGAGCTCTTCCTGAGGGTCAGTCTTCCACACGTCCTCTGCTGTCTCCTCATCTTTGATCAGTATGGGTTCAGTCTCCACTCTCTGCTCCACATCTGTAGGCTGTAACAGGGGACTGAGGTTATTACTCTGGACACACACCATATATTTTTATTTTACCAGGAAAACCCCATTGAGATACAGTCTCTTTTGCAAGGGAGACCTGGCAAAGAAGGCAGCAGCAATCAATACATTACAACACTTAAAACATACAACACAATCAGCACAGCAATACGATCCAGCCTACAGGAAACATTTACACTCCTCCTGAACAGAGTTTTGTACCAGAGTTTTAAAGTCATTGAGTGTCACTAGACTAGTATATCTAGTTTAAGCATACTTTGTAGAAAATGTAATGCCTCTGGTGAACAATAGAGAAGGCAGTCTTGCCTAACTCAGTAACGGCCCTGGGGACTTTAAGTAGCAACCACCTAGTAGACCGGGTCTGGTAACTGCTAGCGGTGAAGAAGAGCAGGTCACAGAGGTAAAGAGGGAGTTTATATATAATATATAATATAATAATAATATGCCATTTCACATATCTAACGCTTTTCATACTCATGAATCACACGAAATAAGTAAATTCTCCTGATATTCCAATGACAGAATTGATCCAAGAGATCAGGTCTCTATAACTGTAAAAGGTGATATATCACACATGGGGTTGAGAGTCCTTGTCCCTCCGCTGTGAGCTACTCCCCTGCTTGTTCAAAACAATCTTCACTGGATATGAAGATCTCTCTGATGCCATGGGGTAAAAAAAAAAAGGGAAAATAATTGTATTCAGTCAAATATTAGGGCTATTCACACATTTGCGTTTTGCATATGGAATCAATTTACCATGAATAACACATCAGCTACCTTTTCTCCTGACTCGTCCTCCTGTCTTCAGATCGTTCTCCATCATTTTACACTTCCTTTTCAGTACATCAATATCTCGCTGGCTTTGGGTCATTTCCAAACGTAGAACTGCACAGCTATCATCAACACGATTGTTTATTTCTGCTACAGCTGCTTTAGCTAATACCTCCATAATGGATAGAAACTGCGCCTGAAAATTGCTGCTGGCCATCTTGTCCAGCCCAAATTACAGATTTGTATTCTCTGTGTTAAGTAAATAGTTGACAATTTCCAAGCTAATGTGCAATAAACAATCCGTAGCAGTTGATAAATGGCAAGAATGTGACAGTGTTCGAGAGCATCAAACCCGTGATGTATCATGGGTAAATTGTGACTGACTGATATACAAATAATATTGAGTAGTTATTTATGTTGCAAGGGTTCTTGTAGATCAGTCAGTCTCGACTCGCTAGTAATGGCGTCTTTTTGTAGGCAGAAAAATGAATGGCTTTTTTTTGGTAAGGTTTTTGGATAAACGCCGAAAATAAGGTATGTGGTAAACACAGGCTTAGGAGATCTTATGTTTTCTTCTATGAAATATTATTCATCAGCTAACGTCACTTTATGTGAATGTTGAAGAATGTATGTAATTTTAAAAAGCACATAAAGGCTTCATCATTCATAAAGGTAATATTAACTGACTGCGGTTACCTCATAGAACAAAACGTATAAGATATCCTAAACCTTTGTTAACCTCAGACCTTATTTTGGGCATTTATTCCAAAACCCTGTTCTTTCGCCATTCATTTTCCCCGTAGCTTTAGGACTACAAGCTGGCGAGCTCTATGTCGAACGCGCCCTAGGACAAGTGAACTGGAACAAAGTCTCGTTGTTTTCTGGCAAATATTGTGTATCTAGTAAGGTGGGTGAAATAAGTATAATACAAACTCATTCATACAATCTACCCTCTAAAGACCTTCATTGTACACAGATTAAAAATTGCTATTGATAACAAATGTGTATTTTGTGGTTGTGACCCAGAGACTCTTAACCATTTATTTTGGGACTGTTCTTATGTCAGAAGATTTTTGGAGTGAGTTAGAAGATTTTATTTTAAAATAAACTACTATTAATGTTAATTTCAAAGACTCTGATATTATGTTTTATTTTGATCCAAATGATATGGACCCCGATTTAATTTTCATTGTTAATTTGTTTATTTTTCATGGCAGATTCTTTATCCATAAATTGAAGTGGGCGGAGAATAAAACCCTCTTCACATTGTTTAAGATATAATTGAAACATTATTTTGAAATGATCAGTAAGTGTAAAAACAAAAAAGCAATACGTAACGTTACCATAAAACTTTTTGACAAATTGAACATTTATCTTGACATGTAATACGACTGTCTATGTTAGGTTTATGTGCTCTTGTTTGTATATTTCTGTTTTTGTATTGGTTTTATGTTGTTCATAATAAAAATACAAAATAAATCGAACATGCCCTGTGTGAAATTGCAATCGCACTTCCGTTCAATTTATGACTTAAGTATTTGTTACCGTACAAATGAGACTGCAACTGCCCTAAACATTTGTTTGAATTAGCACTGGCCAGCAAATACCAGAGTATATTCTAGTCTGCATGTAGGATAGCCATATCAGTTTACAACAAAAAAAGAAGACGTTTTACGATCTGAATAAAGAATTCAGATCGTAAAGCGTATTTTGTTATTAGTCAATGGCTGCATGTAGGGGAAAGTGCAGTGCAATGCAGTGGCTCACATGGTTATTAATGCATAAAAGGCTATAGATGCATAATGCACGAAGCACTGTGGTGAAAACGTAAAATATATTATTCAACCATTCATAAAAACACATGGTTTATATATGATCAAATATTGCCATTAATATTGTCATCTCCATTCTCATCGACACAACCTAATGAAACCATTCTGAAAATGTGGTATGGCATTTATTAAAGGATAGAAAAAGGTATAGAACTTGTTTGATACAGCTGGGGAACAAAGCCGATAAACCAGTTTAATGTAAACTTCAAATAAACTAAATGTCATTATATATTTCAAGTTCCTATTGCATACTACATGCATTATAACTGATTTACATTGAGGGTCTTCTCTTAGGGGTTTTAAAGCACAAACACATATGCAAGGTTTAGCTACAGAAGGCTATATCCACCCATTTTTCACATTTGTGTTTTTTCATCAGAAATGATTGATTAGGGTACCTTCATGTGCGTGTAAAATATAACTGTTCTCAGATTTTTTTAAACATAGATTTTAGATGTGCATTAAAATGGGTGTTGTTGCAAAACGTTATACACTGAGTGTACCAAACATTAGGAAAACCTGCTCTTTCCATGACATATACTGACCAGGTGAAAGCTATGATCCCTTATTGATGTAATTTGTTAAATATACTTCAATATAGATGAAGGGGAGAAGACGGGTTACAGAAGGATTTTTAAGCCTTGACACATTACATTTACATTTTTACATTTACATCATTTAGCAGGCACTCTTATCCAGAGGGACTTACAAATTGGTGCATTCAACTTATGATAGCAAGTGGGACAACCACTTTTTTTCTTCTTTTTTTATGGGGGGGTGGGGGAGGTGGGGGGGGGGGGGGGGGGGGGGGGGGGTAGAAGGATTGCTTTATACTATTCCAGGTATTCCTTAAAGAGGTAGGGTTTCAAGTGTCTCCGGAAGGTGGTCAGTGACTCCACTGTCCTGGCATCGTGGGGGAGCTTGTTCCACCATTGGGGTGCCAGAGCAGCAAATACAGTGAGGGAAAAAAGTATTTGATCCCCTGCTGATTTTGTATGTTTGCCCACTGACAAAGAAATGATCAGTCTATAATTTTAATGGTAGGTTTATTTGAACAGTGAGAGACAGAATAACAACAAAAAAATCCAGAAAACGCATGAAAAACATGTTATAAATTGATTTCCATTTTAATGAGGGAAATAAGTATTTGACCCCCTCTCAATCAGAAAGATTTCTGGCTCCCAGGTGTCTTTTATACAGGTAACGAGCTGAGATTAGGAGCACACTCTTAAAGGGAGTGCTCCTAATCTCAGCTTGTTACCTGTATAAAAGACACCTGTCCACAGAAGCAATCAATCAATCAGATTCCAAACTCTCCACCATGGCCAAGACCAAAGAGCTCTCCAAGGATGTCAGGGACAAAATTGTAGACCTACACAAGGCTGGAATGGACTACAAGACCATCGCCAAGCAGCTTGGTGAGAAGGTGACAACAGTTTATTTGCAAATGGAAGAAACACAAAATAACTGTCAATCTCCCTCGGCCTGGGTCTCCATGCAAGATCTCACCTCGTGGAGTTGCAATGATCATGAGAACGGTGAGGAATCAGCCCAGAACTACACGGAAGGATCTTGTCAATGATCTCAAGGCAGCTGTGACCATAGTCACCAAGAAAACAATTGGTAACACACTACGCCGTGAAGGACTGAAGTCCGCAGGGAGTCTAGTTTTCCTCCATTTCCACTCGGCTGCCCGGAGCCCTCGATTGTGTATGTGTGCCATTCAGAGGGTTAATGGGCAAGACAAAATACTTAAGTGCCTTTGAACAGAGTATGGTAGTATGTGCCAGGCGCACAGGTTTGAGTGTGTCAAGAACTGCAACGCTGCTGGGTTTTTCACGCTCCACAGTTTCCTGTGTGTATCGAGAATGGTCCACCACCCAAATGACATCCAGCCAACTTGACACAACTGTGGGAAGTATTGGAGTCAACATGGACCAGCATCCCTGTGGAATACTTTCGACACCTTGTAGAGTCCATTCCACGCCGACTTGAGGCTGTTCTGAGGGCAAAAGGTGGTGCAACTCAATATTAGGAAGGTGTTCCTAATATTTTGTAAACTCATTGTTTAGCTGGAATGGAACATTCGTATCCTGTATATTTGACTGTGATATGTGGTTGTCTCACCTAGCGATCCTATGATGAATGGAATAACTGTAAGTCACTCTGGATAAGAGCATCCAAATAACGAAAATGTCAAATGTAAATATTTTACATATAGATCTCATATTACTGTATTTATTCCTTTTTAAAAACATTTTTTTAATATTGATGTCACAAATGTATCATTTGTACAGGTCTTTATTTAAAAATATATAGTTATTTGTCACATTTGACTGTAAAACCTAGCAGTACTACTTATTTCTCTGAGAGTGAGTGCCTTCAGAAAGTACTCACACCACTTGAATTTCCCCAAATTTTCATTTGTTACAGCCTGATTTTAAAATGGATTAAATTGAGATTGAAGTGTATGTTTTAATGGATTAGGAGATAGAACTGGGTTAATCACGAACATTGAGTTAGAATTATTTGTTACTGGGCCAGGAATTTAATTGGGGCATTTCACTGTGTGTGTGGGGGAGTAGAGAGGAAATCTGCCCTAGGGTCAAATTGCTTGCTCTTACTTCAATCCATGGCTGTCTTATCCGATGAGAGACTGAAACTAGCTTGTGGCCTTTTGTCTCTCTCTTCAAACACCATGAAGGGAGCGGCACCAGGATTGAATGGAGTTTGGACTAGACCTTTGTCTCCTTGGTATCTTCTTGATTGATTACAGCATGATGGGGTGAGGTTTGTGTATGTTAGGGCCTTGTCATGTTTAAACTAAACATAAGTGTGTGTGCAAGACAGGGGAGTGAGTGATTGGTTGGAGTATTATGTGCATAATAAAAGTTGAGTTTAGAGAGACAAAGGAAGTGGGCGTGGAGTGATAAAGAGCGGGAAACTGAAGTGGGAGGGATTTAGAGCTAGAAGAGTTGGGGATGATGGTATATAATGTGACGTGAGAGAGAGAGAACGGTGTGCCACTCTGCAGACTGGTATCGGCTTTGTTGAAACTTTAATAAAGTCATTTCTTGATGCAACAAAAACTCTGTAAGACCTTATTTGTAATAAAGTATAGTGGTTATTTTCCACAACAAGATTTCACTGGCCCACACACAATACCCCATAATGTCAAAGTGGAATTATGTTTTTGCTTAACAAGTCACATAAGTTGCATGGACTCATGATTTTTGAACGACTTTATCCTGAATACAAAGTGTTATGTTTGGGGCAAATCCAATACAACACATTACGGAGTACCACTCTCCATATTTTCAAGTATAGTGGTGGCTGCATCATGTTATGGGTATGTTTGTAATCATTAAGGACTGGGGAGTTTTTCAGGATAAAAAAGAAACGGAATGAAGCTAAGCACACGCAAAATCCTAGAGGAAAACCTGCTTCAGTCTAACCTAACACACAAGGCAAAATCTACACTGGAGTTGTTTACGAAGACGACAGTTAATGTTCCTGAGTGGCCAAGTTACAGGTTTGACTTAAATCTGCTCGAAAATCTATGGCAAGACCTGAGAATGGTTGTCTAGCAATGATCAACAACCAATTTGACAGAGCTTGAAGAATTTTGAAAATAATATTAGGCAAATGTTGCACAATCCAGGTGTGGAAAGCTCAGAGACTTACCCAGTTAGACTCACAGCTGTAATCATTGCTAAAAGGTGATTCTAACATGTATTGACTCAGGGGGTTGAATACTTATCTAATCAAGATATATTAGTGTTTTATTGTTCAATATTTTTTTTTACAAATGTTAGAATTTTTCTCCCACTTTGACATTAGAGTATTTGGTGTATATCATTGACCAAAAAATTACAATTAAATGAATTTTAATCCCACGTTGTAACACAACAAAACTTGGAAAAAGTCAAGGGGTTTGAATACATTCTGAAGGCACTGTAGCGTTTTGGAACAACATGAAACCATCAAGTGATAGATTTCAAACAAATATATGTAAGCCTTTGAAAAACCCCATGCCATGATTAGGTGGTGAAAAAACACACCAATCTCTCTCATACACTGAACAAAAATATAAACGCAACATGTAACAATTTCAAAAGATTTTACTGAGTTACAGTTCATATAAGGAAATAAATAAATCTGGGGATACAGATATGCATCTGTTGGTCACAGATTCCTTTAAAAAAAGATAGGGATGTGTATCAGAAAAACAGTCAGTATCTAGTGTGACCACCAATTAATCAACATTTCTGAAAATGGATATAGCGTTTTGGAATAAAATTATTCACATACACTCCCCTATCTATTTATTTAGAAAGTGAAGCTAAAACTTTTAATTTGGCTCTATAATCCAGCATTTTGTATTTGAGATCAAATGTTTTATACAGAATGTCACCTTTTATTTGAGGGTATTTTCATACATAACTTTCTTACCGTTTAGAAATTAATGCACTTTATCTAGTCTCCCCATGAAAGTGTCATAAGTATTTTGACAAATTCACTTAGTGTATTACATTCAGTCAAAAGTTTAGTATTTGGTCCCATACTCCTAGCACGCAATGACTACATCATGCTTGTGACTACAAACTTGTTGGACACATTGGCAGTTTTTTTGTGTGTGTTTTGGATCGAAACGTTGTCATTAAGGCGGTGAATTGTATGCTAAATGACTAAAATGTAAATGTAAAATGAATTTGGAACATTGGGCCTTCCTATTCTTTACAAGTATTCTTTATTAGCCCAGCACATCTAAGGATGTGCGTATGACCACAAACTTTTCTATAGTCAGATTTTTGTGCCCAATATAAATTAATAGTAAAAATGCATTGTGTTATTTTGGAGACATTTTCATTGTAAATGAGAATAGAATGTTTGTTTAAAAAAATAATAACAATAATAAGTGAGGAGCCATTAACAGTCAAACATGAAAACCATTTTACGAATCAATTAGGAGGAAAAGCTTGTCAAAATGTCTCAAAATTCCATCTGTACAACATTTTCCCATAAAAACTATTACAGAAAAACTATGCAATTATTAACTATTTGTTCCATCTGTTCTGAGACAACATTAAACTTGTGTGTGGATCCCCAGGGTATGCAGGTACCACGTATTGAGACACTGGACTCTCTCCTATGTGAGTTCTCTGATGTGACTTCATACCGGAACGCTGGGGGAAGCATTTCCCACACTGTGTGCACTTGTAGGGCTTCTCCCCACTGTGGACCACAGCATGTCTGATCAGGTTGCACTGTTTGGTGAAACTCCTGCCACACTGTTCGCAGGTGTACGGTTTCTCTCCGGTGTGACTCCGGAGGTGTTCTTTGAGCTGCCAGAAACGTGGGAAGCTCTTCCCACAGAAGGTGCAGCTGAAACGCCTCTCGGTGGGGCCGCCCGACCTCCACTGAGTCCTCATTCTCTTCACCATGTTAAAACTACTGCGACTCAGGCTGTATCCAGAGAAGGTGGAGGTGGTGGCCATGTTTGACCCTGTCATGCATTCACTCAATCTCACTGTTGATTCTGAAGCCCTGTATTGATGCTGCCTTGGCTGTAGAGCTAAACTATTTCCTTCATTATTTGAGTTCAGCCTCTCGCTGCTCTGTCCCTCTGGCATCTGTTGTCTAGTCTCATCAGCCAATGTCCTGACATGTCTTGTCATGTGTTTTGCTGCACTGAACATGTTAGCATGTGGTTTCCATATAGAAGAGTGAAGCGATGGCCCTACATCATCTGTCATAGTAGGAACGGATGGCAGCCCACTATGAGATGGGAAAATTGAGATATTCTGAGAGTACTCTTCTGTTGCATGAAAGGAGAAATCTGGGTGGCCATCAGGGTCAATATCTCTGCCTGGATCCACAGAGGTCCACAGCTGCCCATCAGTCTCATCCATAACAAACTGGTCAGGTCCTGCCAGGGCCGTGGTCTGATCCAGCTCCTCCTCTTTCTCATTCTTCACCATCACTAGCTCTAGTGAGTCCTTGTCTGGCTGGTGCTGCTCTGTGCTGAACACGTCTGTAGACGTGAGCCGGGGTGTGCCTGGTTCCTCTGGACGATCAGAATTGGGGTAATGTTCCACTGAGTCTTCGGGAGATATGTTGGGTTGTGTGATGAAGTCCTCATCACAGTGCCGTTGCTCAAAGGATGGTGGTTGCCCAGGCTTGGAACCAGACTCTAAAGATTTGGGGATAAACATTAAATAAACATTACAAAAGACCCTTAACAGATGCAAAATACGACTGCTTTAGAACTGACTGTGTGTCCGTGCGCTACATATGCCAGAACATAAAACACCAATGTAGCAATTTGGAACGCGCATACCACCACACCCACACAGAGCAGTACCCCTTATGGTCGCACCCACCCTCTCCAGTGATCCTAAACTCTTCCTGAGGGTCAGTCTTCCACAAGTCCACTGCTGTCTCCTCATCTTTGATCAGTATGGGTTCAGTCTCCACTCTCTGCTCCACATCTGTAGGCTGTAACAGGGGACTGAGGTTATTACTCTGGACACACCATGTCTAATGCTTTTCATACTCATGAACCATACAAAAGCAGTAAATTCTCCTGATATTCCAATATCAGAATTGATCCAAGAGGTCAGGTCTCTGTAATTTTAAAATGTTATGTATTACACCTGGGGTTGAGAGTCCTCTTCAACAGCCATCTCTCCATCTCTCCACTGTGAGCTACTCCTCTGCTTGTTCAAAACAATATTGACTGGATATGAAGATCTCTCTGATGCCATGGGATAACAAACGGGAAAAGACTAGTAATTATATTCAGTAAAATATTAGGGCTATTCACACATTTGCATATGCAATCAACTTTCTATGAATAACACATCAACTAACGTTACCTTTGCTCCTGACTCGTCCTCGTGTCTTCTTCAGCTCGCTCTCCATCACTTGACACTTCCTTTTCAGTACATCAATATCTCGCTGGCTTTGGGTAATTTCCAAACGTATAACTGCACAGCTATCATCAACACGATTGTTTATTTCTGCTACAGCTGCTTTAGCTAATACCTCCATAATGGTTACCAACTGCGCCTGAAAATTGCAGCTGGCCATCTTGTCCAGCCCAAATTACAGATTTGTATTATCTGTGTGAAGTAAAGTCTACAATTTCAAAGCTAATACTCAATAAACACGCCGTAAATGTCGATATGACAACAGTGTGTGATGCGTGCGCAATTGCAATCGCACTTCCGTTCCACAACTCGTGACCTAAGTATTTATTACCGTAAATATGAGACCGCAACAGCCCTTCAAAATGGTTAGAATTAGCATTGCCAAAGCAAATACAAGTGTCTATTCTAGTCTGCATGTACGGTAGCCATATCTATTGACCAATTAAGGGGGGGGGGGACTACAGATATTCTTACCTTTGCCATGATTCGGCAGTCTCGTCCAGATCATCATGGCATTTGTAGTTATTTATGATAGCCACATTAGCATTTCATATTTATTAAAACAAAACAAAACAAATTGGGGGTGGGGGGATAAATACAGGCAAATATTTAGATAGTCACCTTGTCCTCGAGAGATTTACACGGTTATCAAAACGTCAATTTTCCTGTTTGACCGCTAGGTTTTATTGGTATTATGACTCATACTGTTCTACTATTCTACTAGTGCCAGTATTTGGCTGTAGGGTGTCAGCAAATATAATTAAAAGTTTACACTATTCATCTATGGCAAAGATACTTATACAGTGAGTTCCAAAAGTACACTTTGGATTTGAAATGATACAAGTACTATTAGGTTAAAGTGCAAACTGTCAGCTTTAATTGGAGGGTATTTTCATCCAACACGTCTACATTAATGTGGATGCTACCATGATTACGGATAATCTGAATGAATCGTGAATAATAATGAGTGAGAAAGTTAAACGCACAAATATCAGTTAGTTATAAATGTAGTTATATTTGTTTTCGCACAGGCAATGAAAATACCAGGGTGTATTCTAGCCCAACCAGCTGCAAGATGGCGTTATTATTCCTTTAAAAAAATAATAACTCAATTTAGAATAATACTGCCATTTTACCAAAGTAAAAGGAATAATACTGCCATCCTGCGGCCAGTTGGGCTAGATGTATTCTAGTCTGCATGTAGGGCAGCCATATATTGACCAAAAAGAGAAGACATTAAAGAATTCAAGATAGTAAAACGTCTGTTTTTAGTAAACATATATATGACTACATGCAGGGGAGAGTGCCGTGGCTCATACGATTATAAATGCATAAAAGGCATTTATAATGTGCAACGCACTGTGGTAAAATACAAAAACACTTTCAACCATTTTTCTTAAAAAGTAATGGTTCCTTATGAATCTAATGATGCCTTTATGAACCATTGAACACAGGTGTCAGGAAATTGTTAAACATATCATCTCCATTGTCATCCACACAACCTAATGAAACCATTCTGAAAATGTGGTATTGTATTTATTAAAGGATAGAAAAGGGATATAACTTGTTTGACACAGCTGGGGAACAAGGACAATAAACTAGTTTCATGTAAACTTCAAATTAAACTTAATTTCCTTATATTTCAGGTAACTATTGCATGGTACATGCATTATAGCTGATTTACATTGAGGTTCTTCTCAAGGTTTTTAAAAGGCACATACATATACTGTATATAAGTAGAGGTATTAGATATAAAGAGTATGCATATTATATAGTGTGTAGAAGAGAGCAGGTAGTGTTGATTGAGCTGCATGAGAGAATATTCATAAAAGTACAGTAGTACTGATACATTACATGAGTATGTGGACACCTGCTTGTCTAACATCTCATTCCAAAATCATGGGCATTAATATGGAGTTGGTCCCCCCTTCGCTGCTATGTGTGTTAATTATGATTGCATGTGTGTGTATGGAGCAGAGTGTGTATACAATGGACTGTGTGTGTACACTGGGTTATTCTCTCCAGGAGAGGAAGTAGAGCTGGCCCAGTGCATCGCCACACACCAGTTCACTGGAGCAGTGTGGGTTCACCTCCAAGACCAGAACAGGACCCGAACACACAAACACACCCACCTGTACAGAGAGATAGTGTAAGCAAACACACACAAACAGTATATTACTGTGACTACTCATCCATTCTTTATGAAATTATTTGAGTGTGTGAAAATTGAAGAGTTAGAATGACATGCACCTGTTTCTTGGTGTTTCTGTCCCACATTTTGACAGTTCTGTCATGGGACGCCGAGATCATCGTGCTGTTGGTGAGTCTCAGTACACTGATCCTGTCACTGTGTGCCTAGGGAAAATCCATACAAATTATCATCGAAAATAAGACAACAGTTTCCTCTTCAAGTCAGTCACCACCATCATCATCATCATCAGAGAAAAGGGGACAGATCTTACAGGTTTCCTGCTGCTCCAGGAGTTCACATTTGGTGGCTGGTTGAACCACATGTTCCCCTTGGAATCTCCACACACCACCAACTCTGGAGACAGGACACAGAATAACAGTGGAGTTAATAGATTATAAATTGACAGATGATTCACAAGTAGTATCAAAATGTATATGAGTGTCATTGTACTGCAGTGCAGCTACCTCTCTCCACAGTCACTGCAGTTATCCAGCCACCTTTTCCACCACAAGTCTCCTCCATTTCTAGCTTAATTTCACCACATGATGACTGCAGGTCAGTCTTTGGGCCCATGGCATACTAGGGAAGGCAGATAGGACCATATTATCATCTACCAATAGTACTCTTATTAAAACAATAATCTAAAAACAGCAGCAGTGTTGTCATTGATGATGGTTATGATGTATGTGTCGGTGATGATGGTGGTAAACTCACCAAGAAGCCAAGTACAACCTGTCCTTTCTTCTCACCCACCAGCCAAGTGCTTTTTTCATCGTTGGCCACCATCCCAAGAATTTGTGTGTCATCCTTCCAACTGCAATTTAGGCAATTTATGTACATTTCAAGTCAGTATTTTTCAGTCTAGTCCTGGTCTACCACATAATAATGTGTGTATACCATAAGTGTGTGTGTGTGTGTGCTTTACTTGTTAATTTCTCTATCAGCGTCAGCGAGGACATTGATGATATTTCCATCCTCACAGGTTCCCAGCAGGATGGAGCAGTAGTACAGGTGCATCACTGGGGTAGGCACTGAGTATGTGGACACCTTCAACAGACTACGGACAAAAGGATGACAGTCTTTACCAGCAGGCATTGCAGGAGTACAAGAACAAATGGTGACTAAAATGTAATCCATGTACTACTGAAAGTTTTACAAATTTGCAACCAGCCGATACTGCCTTAATCTCTTACAAATGGCAAATTGGGCCAATAGCAACCGTCACCATAGTGTGAGAACTTGACATATAAATGGCCAAAAGCTGACCTTGCAACATTGTGCTGAGGATTCCACTCCAGCTTCCACACTGACACAGAGCGTTGCCTGCATCCCACAGCAAACTGGCCATCAGGCATGGAGCATATCGCTGTTACACTACTGTCAGACACCTGAGCGACACAAGCAAATCAAAGATAAACCAACTTTGTTCTATTAGTCAGTGTGAGAAACACAATAACACTACAAGGTCCTGTATGGAGATACCTTTTTGTGGCCAACTGCAGAATTGTGTTTCCATATCTCCACTCTGCCAGACTCATAGCCAGACAGCAGCACATCGCCACTCTGGGAGAAAGACAGAGCAGTAACAGTGCCCCTCTGGTTGAGAGGACTCTCTGGAGGAAAGAATAAAGAGGGGGAATTTAATACATTAAACAAAAAACAACAAGTATGGAAATTGGAGGATTGGTTTAGGTTGACAATTTAGGTTGATAAATGTGTTACCCATTGCCGCAGCAACGCTCCAAGACCTCAACGACCGATCTTCAGACACAGTGAGGAATGCCGGGACTCCATCCTGCTTTGAGACTGCTCCGTGTATCCCTCCGCTGTGGCCTTGCAAGGTGCTGTGGTGCTGTACCTAGAATTAGAGGCAAAGAGACAATCAGACCAAGCATCACTGCATATTGATACATGTATCTGTTGATGTTATTGTTGAACCATCTTATTCAAATCAACCTAAATCCTAGAAATGACAAGCAAATTGCATTCATCAAACCTGGAAAGGGTGCCACAGCTTCACTGTGCCATCATCAGATGCTGTAGCAACCACCATGTCCTCCTGCTTAGTCTCCTTGGTCTTGTCTGAATATATAACATTTAGGAACAATACACTACATGATCACAATGGTATGTGTATCATAGTATTTTGAAAAGGGAAATAATATTAATATGTGTGTAAGTATTTAGTAAAGATCCAGTACCTGGGTCAGGTAGCACAGAACAGTGGTGTATGCGTGACTTGTGAGCTGAAATCCGGCTGATTTCCATCCCTGAATCCCATTTCCACACGTGCAGTTCACCCTCGGCACAACCTGCTATCACAAACTCCCCCTGCGGACCCCCCAAGACAACACAAACATCATCAAGACAAAATGGAAACATCACAACTTACAGTGTTTCATATATTACATGAAGACACAACAATTTCACCCTGAAGACAGACGTTTTTTCCTCAACAACTTCTCCATTATGACTACAGTTTAACGCCATCGATCTAGTACCAATTTAGAGAGGTCCACACTGCCATCCTACTGTTCGACTCACCAGACAGCAGACTGCACTGAGGGAGGATCTCGCCAGGATCTCTCTCACACTGCGACCCTTCTGTAGGTCCCACACACGGATCTTGCAGTCACTGGAACAGCTCACCTGAGAGACAGACAGACAGTAAGTTACTCAGGTTTAATTCAGTAAAGTCTCTTTCTAGTTAAAATGGGAATTATCATCAGATAAAAACAGGCAACAAATGGTCATATAAAAAAAAATATATATACACAGACACACTCACCACACAGTTTGGGCCCCAGACACAGCCAGTTATCCAGTCTCCATGACAGTGTGGTAGAGACTGAGTGAGAGTAGGAGGAGAGGAACTGGCATTCCACACCATTAGAACCTGAGGGAAAATGTCACATTATCACCACAACAGTCACAAGTAAACAAGTGACAACAGACAGCTCTCAATATTCTTGGTCATTGCCATCAACAGCATCCCCACTATTCACAATAAAAGTAAAATTGCAACACACCAACTAATCTCTCGTGGACTGACTACGTAAACAGAACTGGTAGCGTAGATCTGTCATGATACATCGGGATGCATGAGATAAGGAGCAGCATTAGTTTCAGTGCTTGTTTTTTTTTGTCACTGGTTATTTCAGACAAAACACGATTTCACAGGTGTTAGCATCTTTCAAATTTCTGAAGGGAACATTTGGCCAATAGACTTGCTCGTAACTTGCAAAGAGAGTGGGTGGAGCTCTTAGTTCCGCTTCCGATCCCCGTTCTCCCTCTTCCTTTAACACGTATGGACCCAGAACTTAAATCGAGCATCTGACCAATTACAATTACTTTAGTTCTGGGTTAACTGAGATTACACACCAACCGAAACTCAAATATGAACACACTCTGAAAACCTATACCTGATCTTTTCCTCCAGACAGCAACTCCTCCCCAGTTGGACTGAAGGCCAGGCAGGTGACCCCTCCACTGTGACCTCTCAGGACAGAGATCACACTGGGGTCAACCCAGGTGTCAGAGGTCAAGTCCTTCACTGCCCACAGAGCAATGGAACAGTCATCTGAGGAAAGAGATGGAAAAAGTTAGTAAATTGTCTTAACACAATGATTAGATAAATTAGTGATTAGTACAAAATGAGTTAACTATTGATCAACTGAGTGTTTAATTTGTGTTTTAGTTATTGGTCTGACCTGAGGCAGAGGCCAGATAAGAGGAGTTTTGTGCCAGGGCCAGGATGGGGCCTTGTTGCAACCCAAAACGTCCCAGCAGCACCATGTCTGCCTCTCCCTCCTCCTGTCTCCTCCACACCCTCAGCCGTTGGTCCCCGCCCCCAGACACCAGCAGGTCGGGTTCCTCTGCAGCCAGCCACATCAGGCAGAGAATGGACACCCGCAGGTCCTTGCTAGCCCACGTCCTCTCACCTGCACAATAGGGTTGGGGTGGTTTCATTCAGTTCTGAATCACTGATGTTGTGTTCAGTGATTTATTAAATTGATTCATTTCCTTGGCTTGCAGAGTTGGTGTTTGTTAGCAAACTTAAAACCATATACCTGATTCAAGACTGAAGAGCTTCAACCCATCACCATGGTAACCAACTGCAGCATAACCACCAGTGACAGCCACACATAGAGCAGCGGGCTCCGTGGTTGACATCTTCTTTCCCTTCTGAACAACAGACTCCTGTCAAGGCAAACAAAGTGATTTTTGAGCTTCCGAATGACAGAAATGGAAATTGAGGAACTTCTGAAAGATGAGTGGAACAGCATACCTTGGGTTCTCCAAACACATTCACAGAGCGACCCAGACCACCTGACCATAACTGGACCTGTGGAGGACGGGGGACAGGTAAACAAGGAAGCTTTCAAAATGTGTGAATATGGGAAGATCTCAATTGTTTACTCCTAGCATCCGCTCGCCTCGTCTCCTTCTCAAAACCCATTGGATGAGAAAGCCAGAGGTCCCTCCCCTCTGACCTTCTCCTCCAATGGGTTTTGAGAAGAAGACGAGGAGAGAGGACACAAGGAGTAAGCAATTGAGATCTTCACTGTGTGTGCGTGTGTAAACCATCCTTCTCACCGTGTGGTCAGATCCAGCACTCAGGAGTACCGTCCCTCCCAGCAGGAAGGTGAGCACCTCTGTAGATCCGCTGTGAGCCTGGTAGCGCCCCACGCAGGTAGAGGCTGGAACTGACCACAGCCTCACCTCTCCAGACAGACAGCCAGAGCAAAGCAGAGAAGAGGAGGGAGAGAAAGCTAGACTGCGTACTGACCTCTGATGACCAGAGAGAGTCTGGAAAGGAGGAATGATGAAAGAAAGGTTGTGTTAAAACGACGAGGGAATAAAACATTTAACAGTGTGACATCTCTGCTCGCAATATGTCCTTCATTCGACTCACCGTAACTTCACCCTTCAGCCAGTTCCACAGACGCACAGCTCCATCCCAACCCCCCGCTGCCACAAGATGACCTTCGGGGTCAAAGGTCACACAGTTCAGAGGGCTAGGGCTGGAGAGGGCTGTGACCAGACTGCCCTTTGGAGATGACCACACCTGTGGAGAATAACATTGATAACATTAACGTTCAAATTAATGGGTGAAGTAGTAATCAGAGCGACTGGCGTAGTCTTGATGCGAGACTCACTTTAAGCCTTAAGTCCAGGGACACAGTTGCAAGGTGCTTCCGGTCTGCACTGATGTCACTTCCTGTTATTCTGTTTGAGTGGCCATCGATGAGGGCAGTCCTAGAAAGACAAGACAGTTGACCATTTTGCATGTGACTGCAAGATCGGAATTTCGTAATCCCATATTTGTAAAGCTATTGTATATGCCTGGGGAATATATAGGCCTGGGGAATACTTTCTTTTATTCCAAGCATTGTCTCACCTGCAGCCATTCTCAACATCCCACAATTCAATTCGTCCATCAAATGAAGTAGTTCCCATAAGCCCCTCCCTCAGGAAGACACATCCTGAGATTCCGTCACAGCTGCTCACCAGTGACCTCACTTCCTGTTAACGGTCAAGGTAAAATGGACTTCGATTCAAATATATGGAGCATTTGAAAGACATTACTGTCATATTTTAGTGTTCATGGTGGCATATAGTCAGCAGTAAGTCCTGTCCTAGTCTGTTAGGTCAGTGGCATATTGTTTTTATGGACAGAGAGCAGGAGTTTACCTGTCCAGTCTCTGTGTGGACGAGGTGGAGGGTGCCCTGTCCAGTCCCTACTGCCATGACCCCACCCCCTGGACTCACAACCACACAGGTGGGCTCAGAGGGGAAGGTGGAGACCAGCTTACTGTGGTAACACAGAGGACACCAGCATCACTAAGATCATCACTACTAAGGTAAGAAACAATATAACTAACTCACTGAGGTAGCGAACACAGAGGTCAATATGGTCTAACTGCATTAACTGTAAATATCACTTGTACAAACGGCATGAAGATTAGCTACCTGGTTTCCGGCTGGGTATGTTGTTCATTGTTCAGCCACCTCATCACATGCACCCCTTTCCCTCCTTTTCCCATCATGCCTTGTGCCCATACATGGGCGTCAGTGTGGTTGGGCTCATTGAGAGCTTGCTGCAGAAACAGGGCTGGCCATGAGGACAGGAGTGGAGCATGGCGCTGCAGGAACCCGACACAATCCGTCAGACCGCTCTGGTCTTCACAGGAAAAAGGAGAGGAAGACTCAACTCTGGGCTTTCTGTCTGAGGAACAGATTCTAGAGAGACTTTTCTCTAGAGGTAACCGGTAGAAAAGGATCAATTCTATTACCTAAAGTGTCCCATGAACGAATACCTTCCGATTCGAACCTCTTGCCTGCAGTGAAGTAGAAGTAGAGTTGATGAAAAGTTACTAGATAACCTAACACCTATCATCGAATGAAGTACTTACATATCTCCAGAGAGCTGACTTACCAAATAAGCTGTAGGTCTCCAGGAGGTGGTGCAGGAGGCCATGGCGCACGTTGGCAAACAGGAAATTATAACTAGAGAGCAGGCAATGCAGTGCCTCCCACTGGCCACTTCTCATCTGACCAAAGACAACCAAGAGTTAAGGTGTGGTCAACTGGGAGAGAGGTTAAAAGCTAGAGGCAGTGTCACTGACCAGGTGGAAAGGCAGGTTCAAGATGGAGCTGGCCTCACAGTGAAGAAATGTGCATGTTCCCTGAGGATCTGCCAGCACCCAAAGATGGGCTGAGAGAGAAAGACAAACAAATCCATTTGTATCTATGTCTGTGTGTTTTGTATGATTATATACAGATGTAAGCAGTGAATTCGTGTGTAGGATCTTTACAATAGTAGCTACCTGCCAACAGGATATGAGCCCTGGTCCAGTCAGCCTCTCCTGGTAGGAGGAGCTCTTTTTTAAAGGCCAGCCTGACCTCGGGATTGGTCAGTGCCAGGAGGTCATCCGGGCCGTGACAGTGGGACGGATCAATCAGGCTGCAGAAGAGGGTCAACAACAAAGAGATGGACTGTGTTTACGTTCAATTCCTTACCATTCTCCATTCCACAGTGTACAATTACTCATTCATTCCCCCTTCGTTAAAAGCAGTGGATAGTAGTGGTCGTTCCCATCATATTTCTTACACCAGCGCATTCCATGAGAGGGAGTGAACAAGTGCACACTTCTGGGAGAAGGGTAGAGAATTGAACATCAGCCGATATTCGTTTGATTGCCTCATCAACCCAAGTCTGACCTCTGACTCCCCATCATTTGACACAGTCTCATACCTCTGTAGACTCCGCACCATGTGGGAGAAGGTTGCCATTGGGACCCGCTTTATGGGCTTTCTGGCCAAGTGCAGCATATCTTGCCATGTTGCCTTCTCACCTCCAGAGGTCAGGCCATTGCACATGTTCAGTATGGCATACAGGTCTCTCTCCCTCAGGCCTGCAATGGAACCAGGGCGGAATTGTCATGACATGTCACAGAGCACAATTGCTGAATGAGATGAGTAACCGTGATTAGTAAGTAGGGTATGAATATTAGTGAGTGTTATATTTTAGTCACTTGAGCAGATATAACAATTGGTCCACACCACCGCCAGCCACCAGGTAAGGAGTGCATGTTGAGATGAGGGGATTTGGGTAACATATACATTTACATTTTAGTCATTTAGCAGACGCTCTTATCCAGAGCGACTTACAGTTAGCGCATACATTATTTTATCGAACCCACAACCCTGGCGTTGCAAACGCCATGCTCTACCAACTGAGCTACATCCCCTGCCGGCCATTCCCTCCCCTACCCTGGACGACGCTGGGCCAATTGTGCGCCGCCCCATGGGTCTCCCGGTCGCGGCCGGCTACGACAGAGCCTGGATTCGAACCAGGATCTCTAGTGGCACAGCTACTGCGCCACTCGGGAGATGATATAGGAGGTGTGTGTGTTGAAAAGACAGTGTATGCAGTCAGTGAGTAGTGAATAAGGTGGTTTTGAAGTGCCCAGGTTCTCACCGGTGGTGCTGACAGTCAAGGCGGCCAACGCCCAGCCCAGTCCTACTTCTCTGTACTGGGACTGCAGTCTGCTCAGGCTGTGCTGCACCAACTCACTCAGAGATGGAGGAAGAGCCTGGAGGCTCTCCTTCATCTGGAACACAGACACAGATCATCATGACTATGGGTCACTATGGGTCGGGTCAATGTGATTGTGACATGCATGATGTCTGACCTTTTCAAAAGAGGCAAAGTTCCTCAGGTCCTCACAGGCCAGGTGCAGGTAAAGTGGACTCACTGCTCCCTTCTTCATCAGAAGGGTCTGAAGCTATACAGGTACACAGAGACAATAGTTAATTAATGGTGACAAAATTATACAGAGCAGGCCATACTATTCACAACACTGTTAGTAGGCTTTTCAGTGTGATGATATGGGATCCCATATGGCTCAGTTGGTAGAGCATGGCGCTTGCAACGCCAGGGTTGTGGGTTCGATTCCCACGGGGGACCAGTATGAAAAAGTATCCACTCACTACAGTAAGTCACTCTGGATAAGAGCATCTGCTAAATTACTAAAATGTAAAGATAATTACCTGATTATTGAAGGCAGAGTCACTAAGCTTCTTCCCATAAACGGCAAGTTCCTTTTGAACTATCTCCTTTCTGTCCGGCAAAGAAAGCTGTCCTAAAGGAAACAAGAAGGCCCGTTTGTTCTTGGCGAGGACTCGCAGCAGGGCCGAAGTGGAGGTGACACTCAGCACCAAAGACACACCCTGTCAGAAGAACACAACAAAAGAAAGAGTAGAAGTTTTGTATGCGTTATGTTAAATCCTATACTATATGATACTACAGTGGAGGCTGCTGAGGGGAGGACGGCTCATAATAATGTTTGGAACGGAGCTAACAGAATGGCATCAAACACATTGAAACCATGTGTTTGATGTATTTGATAAAACGTCCACTAATTCCACTTCAGCCATTACCACGAGCCCGTTCTCCCCAATTAAGGTGCCACCTCCTGTGATCACCATGTACACAGATAAACTGAAAACATCTGTGTATATTTAGGCTGAGTTTCTGACCTGAGGAAGGTGCTGTGGTATCCAATCAGAGGTCAGCTGTCCTCTACCATCCTGCACATGCTCCGCCCCATCAACTAGCAGGGCCAGTGGTTGGTCCTTCCTGGTGTCACTCAACTGGGAGTGGAATTCTGTCAGCAGATCTCTATGATAAAACAGTCATGGTTGGGTTAGTCTTGAACAGCAATGGCCCTTACTATTGACTCAAGCACATTTATTGGCAAGGACATTGAAAGGCCATTTGACAAAATCTGGATGAAATGTTTGCTGTCTGCACTCACTTATAAGAGGAAGGGAGAGGCCAGTCCTCTTTTTCCTTGCCTCTCCGTAACCACTGTACAAGGCAGCGTAGAAGGTTTTCCACAGTGCATGCTGATTGGGTAGCAGCAGTGGAGTAGGAGATGACATCACCTCTAGGGGTTTTCTGGGACTTGGTAGGAGTTCTTAGGGCGTTCGCCAGAGCAGCCTGTGTGAAGGGAGGAGACAATGCATAAGAAAAACCTTACAGAAATCGGGTAGGACAAAAATATGGATAATATCTTTATACTGAGCGAATAAAGTATGTTTGTGTATCTCTGCTAAAGCTGCTGCTACGGTTTACCATGAAGACAGTCTTGCCCTCTCCTGGAGCTCCCTCCAGCAGCACCATTCCTCCTTTGAGCTGAGCCTCCTGCACCTTGCCCACCGCCCCAGAGAGCAGCTTGGCACGGCCAAAGAACTGCCGCTGCAGGGCGCCCTGGTGCACTTCCTGCTCTGACAGATCTGACCTGGAATCACTTTCATCCGGTTTCTGTCAGAGAAACAACATCAATACAATGATTGGTGGAAGTGGAACCCAAGGTGGAGGGAGATGGCTTCAATGTTAAATTGTCTGTCATAGTCAAAGTCTCTGACCTCCACAAACTGCTTCAACAGCGCCCCCCAAAGGTCCTCCAGCACCACCTTCCCAAACTCCTCCAGGCCTTTCACATAGGGCTTCCCATCCACAACACCACCCCACTCACAGGGGTAACTGAGAGAGAGAGAGCACATGATACCAATGCACATGAGACCAATTATCTTAATAAAGCTACTTCAAGACAATGTGTAAGGAACTACAACTGAGCTCACTTCTCTGTGACTTTAGCTTCACTATCCACTATTCTTCTTTTCAGGTCGGCCATCTTACATTCAGCCTCCTTGGACTCAGGAGCAAAGTCTGTCCTCCACGCCACAGGAACAGACCTGAGAAATCAGGAAGCAAACATTGTACACGTTTTGTATGACGATTATTAACATGATTATATTATTTAATATTCAAATGCATACAGTCATAATCTTATTGTTCATATGAGGCATTGGCAAATGAACGATTGGACAAATGAGTATTTTTCAAGGTGTGAACCTGGATATGTGAAGTGGACTGATTTGATATTGTCTACCTGGACAGGTGGGGTGACCTGAAGTAGCAAAACATGCGATTCTGAGCTGTGTCTGGATGAAGGGCCTGGAACTGTCGAATCTCCATCTCGGTGATGGACAACCCCGATGGAGCAGAATCCAGCTGTAGAGAAGGGTAACCAAATCATTACAAAAATATCATCTTTATCTTAAACATGTTTTCTGACTAGATGTGGCTGCAAATAAAACTTCTCTCCTGATAGAAAACATGACATTTTGTGCAAACAGACAGCTTAGTAGGACTAAGAAAGAGAGATATGGAAAGAGAGATAGCGTCTTGAGAAGGCAAACCTTACCCAGCTGTATTGTGGGAGGTCTGGTAGGGATGGACGGGGAGGCAGCAGTCCATATCGCTCTCCCAGAATGCCTAGCAGCAGTTGGCTACGGCACACCTCTGAGAGGCAGAGCTCCACGACGCGCCCCGTCTCCTCCTCAGTCACCCCCCAGCGCAGTTCCACCTCCTGCAGGTAGAGGCAGTGTGGTGCCGCACGACGCCGGAGCTCAGGGAACACACTGCGCACCAGAACATCTCTCTCAGCGTGCATGTCTCTGAACGTGGAGGAGACAAACACACGCACGCCTCGCCATCTAAAGAGACAGGGAGGACATGGGCAAACGACAGGAGAACAGAGAGAGAAAGGACAGGGGGACAGAGAGAGAAAGGACAGGGGGACAGAGAGAGAAAGGACAGGGGGACAGAGAGAGAAAGGACAGGGGGACAGAGAGAGAACGGACAGGGGGACAGAGAGAGAACGGACAGGGGGACAGAGAGAGAACGGACAGGGGGACAGAGAGAGAACGGACAGGGGGACAGAGAGAGAAAGGACAGGAGGACAGAGAGAGAAAGGACAGAGAGGACAGGAGGACAGAGAAAGGACAGGAGGACAGAGAGAAAGGACAAGCAGAGAAAAGGAGGGGGATAAGAGAGTCAGTGATACAAGAGGAGAGAAAGGAGAGTAATGCTCAGTTTGTTTCGTGTTCGTTCATCTCTGTGGTTTTACATTTACATTTTTGTCATTTAGCAGACGCTCTTATCCAGAGCGACTTACAGTTAGTGAATACATATATTTTTTTTTATACTGGCCCCCCGTGGGAATCAAACCCACAACCCTGGCGTTGCAAACGCCATGCTCTATCAACTGAGCTACATCCCTGCCGGCCATTCCCTCCCCTACCCTGGACGATGCTGGGCCAATTGTGCGCCGCCCATGAGTCTCCCGGTCGCGGCCGGCGGCGACAGAGCCTGGATTCGAACCAGGATCTCTAGTGGCACAGTTAGCACTGCGATGCAGTGCCTTAGACCACTGCGCCACTCAGGTAACCCTATGGCTACCCTGAAATGAAGGCTCTATGTTGTCAGAGACAGCCCAATAATCAAGTATGGATAATCATGGACAACCAAACCAGTTTTGAAGGAAATGTATTCAACCTGCCCTGCCACAGTACCTCAACTTTGGGGTGGCAGGAAGTGGGGTGATGGCAGCTTCTAGCTCAGCCTCTTTAGCACACCCCTGTGGCGGGAGAATGTGATGCAGCTTGTCTATGTGCTCCACGTGATCCAGCAGTCTAGATGAGCCTCTTTCAGCCACAAACCTGTTGAGTTACACAAACACTTCAGAGACACCATGCCACAAGGTAGGTGTGTGTGTATGTGTGTGTGTCAGTGACAAGAGGGTGAATGAGAAGAAAGCTTGCCTGAGGATCTGCTCGCTGAAGCCTTGGAGTACCACACAGTTCCTGTCTGTGGATTGGTCTCCCGTCCTGCAACAGACAGAGGCAGGACATACACAGTGAAGGTTGTAGCTGTTAACACACTGGGGATACAGAACATGTACTGAAAATGCTCCTTATTGAAAGAAAAGGTTGTTTCTCATAGAATAGTAAATGCTTGCTCTCTCCTACGTGGCAGAGATGTGCTGCTGCTCAGCACACAGAAAAGCACCCCCTACCTTTTCCCAAAGAAGATTTTCACTACGAGGGCTTTATTGTTCACATCCTTCCTGTATCGGTCAAGCGCCATATCCATGTTATTATCCAAGTAATGATCCGCCAGCACGATGATATTGTCCACCTGAGAAGGAAGACGGGAAGGTCACGATTCAAAGTACAATTAAGTCAAATGGATCCCTGAAAACAATTCAAATGTACAAATGTGCACATAAACACACCTTGTTTTTCTGCGTCATCTCTCTGCTCATGAAAGAAGAGAATGTTTCATGCTTGTCATAGGCATTCTGAGCCTCCTGTAAGAGAAATGATTCAATATACTATCGATCTCTCTAGTACTACGCACTTTGAATATTCAGTTCAAAGTCTTCTGAATATTAACTTCAGTTTATCTAAACTGACTTCACAGTGATGGCATTATGTTGGAAAAGTATTGAAACCATTACAACAGTGTGTAGATAGACATGAGGGAAAGGAAACGACAGCCTCACCTCTACCTGCTTCATCACATGCCTGACATTATCCAACAGCACGTCCGACTTGAGCTTTGCTTCTGCACAACCCCACCAGTTAAACTGGATCAGCTGGGGATGCTCAGCGCTGTGGGCTATCATCAGTGACAGCAACACTGCTACCTCCTGCATCTGTGAGGAAATTCACAAATCAGCAGGGTCAGTAATAAGCACAGATTATAGCTGCTGGGCGTTGTAGAGTATGGCCCTAGCCCCTACTCACTAGGCACTTGTCTGGGAGTACTGGACAAGTCTAAGCAATATGGAGAATGTAACCTAGCATGTCTGAGGGAAGGGTGAAGCTGCTACCATACTGACTATACTTTATCATTTATCTCCTCCCTTCACACCATTTATTTTAGATCTACACAAGTGCGTAGAGAGTAGAGGCTAGGGGTTGTTTCTGGTCAGGGACTCAGTGTGTTGAGGTTTTGGGTTCTTACAGAGGGTGTGAGTTTCTCTTCTTCATCTTCTTTTTCTGCCTCTGCGTCAGGCGGGCAGCAGAAGTCCTGAGCGGCGCTCCAGGTGTCATCCTCACCCATGTTACCAGCGAAGAAGATCATGGTGCGGCCAGGGAGGGGTGGCACGTTGTAACGGCATGAGATCTGCACCGCAGTTTCCAGAGCCTTGCGGTACTGCTCCAGAAGGGCCTGCGAATACAGTCTCTGACTGTAGACACACACACACACTTCAGAGTGCATCCTCCTTACTCAGTATAAACATACTTCTAATTATTATCACGCAACCGCAGTAATGCAGATTTTTATATTACAGTTTTCCTCTGGACTTCCTCTACCTGATAAATATTCATTATCAAATCTCCCATGTCTCTCGGTTTCCCTGTCTGCATCCCCTGATTCCTCTCCCAGGTGAATACCCAGTGTTGCTGTCTGTACCTGGCTTTCTTCAGCTGGCTCTTCTTCATGTTGTAGATGCGGTAGACAAAGGGCACGCCTAACGCCACCCTCAGCCTCTTCTTCCCAGCCGTCTCCCAATCCAGATGACTGAAGCGCTTGTTCTTAGGCATCTTCTTCAGAATGCCCCTGAGGATCTCCTTAGAGCTGGAGAACACTTTCTCTGATGCACGGGCTAAAAGAGGGAGGTAAAGCTTTGTCCGACAACATCAAATGTAGACTTTTCCAAACTAGAATGTATTGATGTTGTTAGAGTTTATGTTTGTGTGAAAGATTCTTACCCATGTTGTTGAGCTCCATTATGACCTTATAGGCGGAGAGGAAACGGAAGGGAAACTGTCTGCTCTGAATCACTGCTTTCTGTAACAACACCACTCTTTTATTGGGATATGGGTGTTAATGTAAACATACTGTATTTCCTACTGCAATTTCTATCAAGTTTTATTTGATCCTTCAGTAGACTTGCACCCTAGTGGTCAGAATCTACATGGATCTACATGGACTGACAATATATTTTTTATTTGTCCAATGATTTATTCTGCCGATTGCGTGAACATATAATATAACAAGGGGTCAAAAAATGTAATAATTATTTATGGATAACTCACCCTGAAGGTCAGTCTGCCCAGAATCTTCTGATGATGCCGCTCACTGATGCCCTGGGTTATCATATTCCTCAGGTTCCTCAGCATTGCCATGAAGGGCAGAGAGTTACTGTCTGTAAAATAAATAAGGACAGCATTATAACAATGTTATATTACAACCACTAGCTGCAGCATTGATTCACTGTGAGAGTGTTTGTGTAGGTATGTGACTATACCTATCAGTTTCTCCCAGGTGGAGGCTTTGTTTCCCTCTTGGCTGAGTTTGCGTTCCCATGTGTCTGGCTGTTTGAGCTTCATGCGCTGCCCTGCCCGCTCCCTGTCCCACACCCCACTCAGCCCACTGCGGGAGAACGCCTTGGGGTCACCAGGGTACCTGAAAACACACATGCAAAGCACAGTATCGAGATTGTATACAGCTCAGAAAAGTAGCAAAATGTTAGCTAATAGATCCTTGGATCTGTAAAATATAAAAAAACATCTGTCAACATCGGTGTTTGGTATACAGTACCTCTTTCCCAGTATGGCCAGGACATGCTGAGCAGGCTCTTTGATGTGGAGCCTCTTGATCAGCTTCTTCAGACTGAACTCACTCTGCTTCTTATCCACCACTGCTCTCTCCATCTTCAACTGCAAACATTTACATTTTAGTCATTTAGCAGACGCTCTTACAGTTGTGGGGGGGGTCTTTGTTTTCAGAAGATGGGTAGGCTATGGACTCTGCTGTCCTAGCTTCATAATCTCCTAGCTTCAAACAGTATTATCAAATAATACTACAAAAATATATGTGGTCCTCTGTAGCTCAGCTGGTAGAGCACGGCGATTGTAACGCCAAGGTAGTGGGTTCGATCCCCGGGACCACCCATACACAAAAAAAAAAAATCTATGCACGCATGACTGTAAGTCGCTTTGGATAAAAGCGTCTGCTGAATGGCATATTATTATTATTATTATTATTATTATTATAATATACAAACACAAACTGTTTCCATCCAGTTTTTATGCGAGTAAAGTCAGGCCGTAAAAAAAGCACGACAGGAAGTTTCGGTACAATTTTATAAATCCTGTCAGGTAATTTGTTTGTTCGACATGGTGGGATCTTTTTGTGTCTATAAAATTCATTATATGAGAAATGGTGGTGGAAACGCCTTTATGCACACATATTGATATAATAACCATCATATCGATGTAAACTTGGAATCACGCAATGATATGGTGTGTGGTCCTCCCATTACGACTCGGTTTATTGCAGTTTATTAGGCTACAGATTAAATAAATGATAAACTTCACAGGGTGGCGAAAGTGCACGGTGATGAGTATGATGCTCTTTTCTAATGAATATCGAGGGTCTTATTCTGGTGACATGATGATAAATGCTTGACTGCCGTTTGAAAAGAAAAAATATTCTCGCTCTTATCCATAATAATCTCATCATCTAGACCAGCCTACCTGCACTGTGTCTGCCAGCTGTTGCTGGCTAGAGAACACATGCCAAGACAAGTGCGGGCACATTTGCTATTTAAAGCAACAGATTGTGACAAAACTAATCGGTAGAGTTGAAAATGCATTAAAAACACAGATATCATTTTTATTCGGTACATGAAAACTTTGTATGCACTAATTCATCATGCACATATTTTTATCCGCAACAGGACTGTTTGGTGGAAACACACCACTGGATGGAAATTTAGCATATTTTCTTCATTTGGATTTTAGAACATTCACATGAAAACCTGTTGCCAATAGGATGGAAACCTAGCTCCACACTCACATATTTCTGCAGATTGGTGGCATCACTTCCGAGCATATTTGCCCATTTTTCCAACTGCTGAGTGGATGGTTTCTGTGATGGAGAGAGAGAGAGAGAGAGAGAAGATGGAGAAGAGAAAAAACAAGGTGTGTGTGTGTGTTTGTACACACGCTTGCCGTACCTTGCATTTGGGTCTAGAGCGATTGTGTTTGCAGCGATGTTTGCGTGTGTTGTATTTGGCCAGCTGATACTCGTTGAACTGCTTGAACTTGTCTCCCAAGGCTTTTTTCAGACAGGTGGGTAAAGAGTGGCCAAAACACTGAGGATGACATCACAGTGGAATGGTTAGAAGAGATATTCAGAATCACTGATCTACAAATCACCTTGCCTCCCAAACAACTACCCATTAAGCAATCAAGACGAGCAAATATGTGCAGTACCTTACTGAGTCTGTCACATGTAGAGAGAGACAAACAAAGAGCAGTTGAGATTAGTAAGAGATTCACTGAGATTGACCAAGACTCACCGTGCTGTAGAGTCTCACCACTTCCAGCCAATCAGAGGGTAGCTGCACAGCTGCACAGAAGTACCTACGCACGTGTGGCTTAGAGGTGGGCAGATGGGCCGCAAGAGCCAATAGGAAGTTAGCTGTGATACGGATGTTTAACTCCTGTCTGGTGTAAACTGCAACCTAAAGGGGAACAGGAAAATATGGTAAAATAGGATAACTGTTTACTGCACCCCAAAATCCATAGAGGACCCTAGTGGGACATGACCAAGAGAGATTCTCCAGAAACACACACCTTGAGGAGAAACTGGGGATCGTCGGTAGATATGGCCTTGGACAAGTTCTGGATCCTTTTCCAGACACTCTCCTCTGCATCCCAGTCCTTCTGACCAGGAGCAGTGCTCTTATTCACCAGAGAACAGCACACCTCATTCAGCAGCAGGTACTGATTGAAGGGAAAGTGTGAGGAAAATAAATGATGGAGTAGAAAGAGAGGAGGAAAGGGGAAAGGTTTTGAGGTTCAGGTTGATGTTGAGATACGTGGTTTTCTGTGCGAGACTAAATGCAGAATCTCCTCCCTCACCTTTTTGTCTTTCAGTTCTTCCTCCAATTCATCTTTCCCCCTCTCCATCTCACCAAACTCATGTTCCCCGAATGGCATTATTTGGTCCAGCTCCTCTTCATCCAATACCATGTCCAGGACAGGCATCTCTGTGGATGACTCAGTCTCCTCAGCCATGAGGCTGTCCTGGTCAGAATCCTGCAATTTCATAAGGAGGAAAGAAAACACATTTGGTACAATGGCAACAAAATTTGACTGGATTGGAAGGGACCTTGTGGCAAACTACATCACAGAAAGATAGACTGAAAAGGATGCATTGTGCCATATACCACAGTCATCTCTTCGTAGTAAGACAGCGCGTCCTCAGAGGCAGGCTGCCTAATTCTTCCTTCTCCTTCCCCCTCTATCCGCTCTTCTACATTCAGAACCGGAGGGGGGAGAGAACAGGTAGGAGGCAGGACACGAGTAGAGGATCCCAGGGATGAATTGAACAGAGTGGGGAGGGGGGGGGGGAGAGGGGAGAAAGAGGGAACGAGGGAAGAGGAGTGAATCCCTCTTTAGGAATTTGTTCTCTGTGCTGAGGAGTGGAGAGGTGAGAAGGGGGGAGGTAAGACAGGGAGAAGTGAGGGAGGAGGCAGTAGTGGAGAGGAGGTAGGAGGTGGTGGAGGTGAGCCTGGAGGGCTGGAGAGAGGAGCAGGAGGAGGGCTGGGATCCTGGCCCAGAGAGGGCCTGAGGCAGCACAGACGTCTGGACCAGGCATCTGTTCTCCATGCTCTGGCCAAGGTAGTTGGAGTAGAGTTCCCCTGATGCAGCCTGCTGTTCCCGGGCCCCATGAGGCTGGAGCAAAGTCAGCGCCTTCATCTCTCCTGGAAAACAGGTCAATAGACTGTCAGGCAAATATTCACTCAGCACAGGGAGGGTCCCTTTTACAGTACATATAGGACAGCGTTTCCCAAACTCAGTCCTCCCTTTGAGGTCCCAAAGACAGAGTTTGAGAAACCCTGATCTAGGACAAACAGATTACACAGTACATCAAGGTAAGAATGTCAATGTACTGTTTTACACCTGTTGTAACCTGTGCACGTGGAAAATAAACTTTGAAACTCGACTGACGACATTTGTTAATAGAGATCAGCATTCTAGCCAGGTCTATTATTTAAACAGTCAGCGGTAAAACATACAAAAGGGCATTCATGTATTTGGGTGGGTCACTTGTATGACAAAGAGAGTGGTAAAAAGGAACAAAGTTCACTCAACACAGATAAAGATTGTTGTCTTGTGCTTTAGATAAGACTGGCTCAATAAATGAATGACAAATCCAGAACCATGCAACAATGGTGTTCTGTCCATGTCCAGAACACCAGACTGAAGTGGTGCTTGTACACAATGATAAATTGGTTCAGTACAATGAGTACAGTACTACCTAGCTCTGGTCCAGGGCGTTAGGGACGCGCACTAACGCCCTGGACCAGAAGTACAGCCCATCAAAATGTTCTTCTTACAATCTAATTACACAGATACACGAATGTCCAGACTAGAATACATTGTGCCCATAGAATAATATATTGTGGAAACAGCACAGGGATGAAAACAGTCTAAAGCCAGGCAGTAATCAAAAGGCACATTGAAGTAGCTATGCTACCCAGATTTACATGTACTTTGAATGGGCGTGACTGTAGCTAAGTCTTCCGAGAGTCACAAAAAGGGACGCAAACTTACCTAATAAGTAGCGGAACAACTCATGTGGACAACTACTAGCTAATACTTTTCAAATAATGATATATATGTTCAATGATGCGTGTTCAGTTTCCAAAGCACTGGTTCAGAGCAGCAAGATGAAGTATTATTTCCGCATATGTCTACGCCATGTAGCTATCTGCCTACTGAAACACAGACGAGCGCACGGTCTATGTATATCCTCCACGGACACCGTAGATCATATGATCACGCTTTCCTCCCCTCCGTTTGTTTTCGCGGAAGTAAAAACTATCAATGTGGTAGCTAGCGAACTATTTGTCTTTCCGACTGAAAATTATGTTTTGAAACACAACACTATTCAGGTAAAATGTTGTTCCAGGAGAATATGACTAATTGTGTTACTTTACAAACCAAATTAAGCTCAGTTATGGATGTGTTGGCCAAAGCTGCGGTGGCAGAAATAAGTAAAATGTTCGATGATGGGTTTGCTGTTTTACGCTTGGAAATGTGCCGAAGAGAAAATGAAATTGAAACCTTGAAAAGACAATTATTGTTTATGGAGAACGATCGGCAAACCACGAGTTCCAAAGCGCAAGAAGCAGGCTGTTCTTCTACATGCTCGTCGTCTTCCAGCAGAACGGATGAGGGACAGGGTGAGCCAGCTCCTGCTTACTGTACTCATATAAATATAATTATGAAATGTGTTGCTGTAAATCTCAACTCAAGGGTCAATTCTTAAAAAATATATCAAATGCAGTATGACTGACAATCATTTAGCACAATGCCTAACTACTGTAGATAGGTTTCAGTTCTATTGTTGACTTTGTTAAATTGTTCAGTGCTCTCTCAACTTTGATTTACGTTGATTTAGACATACCGGTATGCTTCTGACAATTCAATTCATTGAAACCTTCACTTTCAGGGTCCAAGGGGTCTGATGAGGATGCTAGTGAAAGGACTTCATTTGAGCAGAACGCCAGAGAGGATGATGACCAACTGGGTCGAAATAGACCACAGCCACCTGCAGAAGAAGTAGAGGGGCTCGATGAACAGTACAGGTCTGGCCACAGAGAGAAGGGTAGTGAACTAGAGTTAGTGAAGAGGGAGCAAGAGGAGGAGTATGATGTTATTTCACTACATTCGTCAGGAAGTGAACATGGCACCGAGAGACCAGATCATCAGGAAACTGAGTTTGATGTGGATGAGAGAGAGAGTCAACTGTGGGTGTCTTTAACAGAGAGCAACTGTGACTCGGAGGGTCCAGATTGCATTTTTGGTACAAAACAATATCCACAAGATCAAGATACAGACATACAGCTCATTCAAAGTGCAGTGGAGGGTCTCGATATCATTCCATCGTCAGAGATAGGTGACATTAACAGAGTTATGAAAGAAGAGATGCGAGCACAGTCTGTTTGGAATGACAGAAGAAGGACCCCTACAGATTTGGTTCAGGCACAGCCAGGACAGCACAGAGAAACCATGCACCCAGTGAGAAGGCAGGATGGGACAACTACCAGAACGCCGTCAGGCAAACAAACGCTAGCCAATGAGGGTGCAGCATATTCCAACATTTGGCTAAACAATGTATTTTCGCTTGCCCCAAATGGTTTTCTCTCAGCAAAAGTATCCCCAAGGAGAACCCCAGCAAGAGAGAAGTGGTTTGTTTGCTCCTTCTGTGGAAAGAGCTTTGACCGGTTCGGTCACCTGGAGATGCATCAGCGGATTCATACGGGAGAGAAACCGTACAGCTGTGTAACGTGCGGGAGGAGTTTTGCTCAGCAGAGTAATCTCCGCACACACCAGCGAGTACACAGGGGCCTCAGAACAAACCAAACTGTTTACTAATCCATCACCATGACGAGACAATTTAGAGCATCCTAGAGAAACCAGCTGGGGCCCACCCCACACATTGTGAAACACAACCTCATTGACATATCAACATTTTCTAATGAGAAGAACATCAAGACACTCTTGCAGAAAGCAGCAGTGTGTTGCTTTTGTCTTCCCATTCTGTAAAGTGAGAGCAGTGAGACCCTACCACAACTGTTGCACTAGTGGTGCTTATATACTGTAGAGTGGGATCAAAGTTGCAGGTTTACAGCCTCCTGCTTGTCACTTTTTAAGGAACACTTATCGAGAGGAAAATCTCCATCGTATTTTTTTCTTTTGTAGAACTATGCCAGACACTAACATCTGGAGAGAAAAACTACAATGGGCGTGCTTTTGTCAATGCATACCTTTTTATGAATAAACGTGAATTCTCTCAAACTTTGAGCCCTTTCATATACAGTTGAAGTCGGAAGTTTACATACACTTAGGTTGGAGTCATTAAAACTCGTTTTTCAACCACTCCACAAATTTGTTGTTAACAAACTATAGTTTTGGCAAGTCGGTTAGGACATCTACTTTGTGCAATTTTTCTAACAATTGTTTACAGACAGATTATTTCACTTATAATTCACTGTATCACAATTCCAGTGGGTTAGAAGTTTACATACACTAAGTTGACTGTGCCTTTAAACAGCTTGGAAAATTCCAGAAAATGATGTCATGGCTTTAGAAGCTTCTGATAGGCTAATTGACATCATTTGAATCAATTGGAGGTGTACCTGTGGATGTATTTCAAGGCCTACCTTCGAACTCAGTGCCTCTTTGCTTGACATCATGGGAAAATCAAAATAAATCAGCCAAGACCTCAGAAAAAAAGTTGTAGACTTCAACTTTGTATGTATATATATATATATATATATATATATATATATATATATATGTGTGTGTGTATACAGTACCAGTCAAAAGTTTGGACACACCTACTCATTCAAGGGTTTTTCTTTATTTTTACTATTTTCTACATTGTAGAACATCAACACTCTGAAATAACACATGGAATCATGTAGTAATCAAAAAAGTGTTAAACAAATCAAAATATATTTTATATTTGAGATTCTTCAAATAGCTACCCTTTGACTTGATGACAGCTTTGCACATTCTTGGCATTCTCTCAAGCAGCTTCACCTGGAATGCTTTTCCAACAGTCTTGAAGGAGTTCCCACATATGCTGAGCACTTGTTGGCTGCTTTTCCTTCACTCTGCGGTCCGACTCATCCCAAACCATCTCAATTGGTTTGAGGTCGGGGGATTCTGGAGGCCAGGTCATCTGATGCAGCACTCCATCACTCTCCTTCTTGGTAAAATAGCCCTTACACAGCCTGGAGGTGTGTTGTGTCATTGTCCTTTTGAAAAACAAATGATAGTCCCACTAAGCCCAAACCAGATTCAATGGCGTATCGCTGCAGAATTCTGTGGTAGCCATGTTGGTTAAGTGTGCCTTGAATTCTAAATAAATCACAGACAGTGTCACCAGCAAAGCATCCCCACACCGTAACACCTCCTCCTCCATGCTTTACGGTGGGAAATACACTTATTTGGGCTGCAATTTTTGAGGCTGGTAACGCTAATGAACTTATCCTCTGCAGCAGAAGTAACTCTGGATCTTCCATTCCTGTGGCGGTCCTCACGAGAGCCAGTTTCATCATAGCGCTTGATGGTTTTTGCGACTGCACTTGAAGAAACTTTCAAAGTTCTTGACATTTTCCGGATTGACTGACCATGTCTTAAAGTAATGATGGACTGTCGTTTCTCTTGGCTTATTTGAGCAGTTTTTGCCATATGGACTTGGTCTTTTACCAAATAGGGCTATTTTCTGTAAAAAATATATAAATGCAACATGCAGCAATTTCAAGTTGATCATGCTGTTGGTTGTGGCCTGTGGAATGTTGTCCCACTCCTCTTCAATGGCTGTGCGAAGTTGCTGGATATTGGTGGGAACTGGAACACTGTCGTACACATCGATCCAGAGCATCCCAAATATGCTCAATTGGTGACATGTCTGGTGAGTATGCAGGCCATGGAAGAACTAGGACATTTTCAGCTTCCAGAAATTGTGTACAGATCCTTGCGACATGGGGCCGTGTATTATCATGCTGAAACATGAGGTGATGGCAGCAGATGAATGGCACGACAATGGGCCTCAGGATCTCGTCACGGTATCTCTGTGCATTCGAATTGCCATCGATAAAATGCAACTGTGTTCGTTGTCCGTATCTTATTCCTGCTCATACCATAACCCCACCGCCACCATGGGGCACTCTGTTCACATCAGCTAACTGCTCGCCCACACAATGCCATACACGCTGTCTGCCATCTGCCCGGTACAGTTGAAACCGGCATTCATCCATGAAGAGCACACTTCTCCCAACATGCCAGTGCCCACTGATGTCGGTTACGACGCTGAACTGCATTGAGGTCAAGACCCTGGTTAGGACGACGAGCACACAGATGAGCTTCCCTGAGACGGTTTCTGACAGTTTGTGCAGAAATTCTTCAGTTGTGCAAACCCACAGTTTCATCAGCTGTCTGGGTGGCTGGTCTCAGATGATCCCGCAGGTGAAGAAGCCGGAAGTGGAGATCGTGGGCTGGCATGGTTACACGTGGTTTGCGGTTGTGAGGCCGGTTGGACTTAATGCCAAATTCTATAAAACGACATCGGATGTGGCTTACGGTAGAGAAATTAACATTCAATTATCTGGCAACAGCTCTGTTGGACATTCCTGCAGGCCAATTGCAAACTCCCTCAAAACTTGAGACATCTGTGGCATTGTGTTGTGACCAAACTGCACATTTTAGAGTGCCCTTCTATTGTCCCCAGCCCAAGATGCACCTGTGTAATGATCATGCTTTTTAATCAGCTTCTTGATATGCCACACCTGTCAGGTGGATGGATTATCTTGGCAAATGAGAAATGCTCACTAACAGCCATGTAAACAAATTTGTACACAACATTTGAGAGAAATACATTTTTGTGCGTATGGAACATTTCTGGGATCTTTTATTTCAGCTCATGAAACATGGGACCAACACTTAACATGTTGCGTTTCTAATTTTGTTCAGTGTATATGCTTAGACAAGACTGGGTTTATAGTTGACACCAAGTGATGCTGCAATCTTGTCTAATCTCTACTTCGCTGGGAAATGTCTAACCGCTGGTAAATATTGTTTACATAGTGGGACACAAGAAGGCAATGCTGATGTAAAAAAGGACAAAGTCAACCACAAAAATGGCAATGAAAGTGAGCATGAGGTTGCCAAACGCTTACTTTTCAGTCCAACTGTATCCAAGTTCAGTTCACTGGAATAAGTAACAGGCCTCCATGACCATTGGGTTAGGGTGGAGCTGAGGGCAGTTCCCTTTTCAACCAACTTCTTCCACCCTTTCTAGATGCTCTGTCCTTTGGGGTGTAGGAGGATGGTGTTGGAGTGTAGTTTGGGCTGCAGGATCCCGTTACTGTAGTGGAAGTGGTTGGAGAGTGCCTCTGAGATCTGGTAAGAACTGGTGTCACAATCGGCCTTGTCAACCTGTCTGTGTCCCCAGTCTTCCCCTTTGGTCACCCCCTCCTTCTGGCCACCCAGGTCGCTGAGCATTGAAGGATGCCACACTGCCATCCTGGTCCTGGGGTTTCAAATTAAGTGGCACAGATAATATATATATATATATATATATATATATTATACGTTTTGCTCTGAGAACAGGTTGGCTTCATGGGGAGAAGGGAGGAAGGCCAGAGTCCTGAGAAATTGAGCCCCACAGTGGAGGTGTCATAATACCAATAAAACCTAGCGGTCAAACAGGGAAATGGTTCCAACTGTTTTTCCCTGTTCATTTTTCTCATAGGGGATTTTATAAACACTTAAAATAAGGGCTGTGTTTAGTGTAGGCTTACCCTGACGTGACGTTTTGATAACCATGTAAATCTCTCTCGGACAAGGTGACTTTTATCAATTTATTCAGCTCTATTTATTCTCAGATTCGAAAATGCAAATTAGCATCAAAGTAGACATCATGCAAGACTACAATTCACTGCAAGCTCCTGCACATCATCTCTAACTGACACCTTTGCTAACAGGTATAGTGTCAATTTAAAACTTGTACAAGACAGTTCACAGAATTGTCAATTTAAAGACATTTTGCCAATTTATTCCTTACTAAATTTAGCCAACATTAGATGGTTAATCCAGAGTTTCTTACCTTTGCCTCGATTTGGCAGTCTCGTCCAGATCATCATGGCATTTGTAGTTCTTTATGATAGACACAATAGCAGCGAATTAGTATTTTTTTTTTTTTTTTTTGGGGGGGGGGAGGAATACAGGTGAATATATTAATAAAAGTCACCTTGTCCTACAGAGATTTACACGGTTATCAAAACGTCATGCCGGGGTAAGCCTACACGAAACACAGCCCTTATTTTAAGTGTTTCTAAAATCCTGTATGGGAAAAATGAATGGTGGAAAAACGATTGGAACCATTTCCTTGTTTGACCTCTAGGTTTTATGGGTATTATGACTTATACTGTGGTACTCTACTGAGAGCCACATATTGAGAGAAACAGATAGGCCTGTGAGTTATTACATTGTAAACTTAATGCGCATTTTTTAACTTTCACAAATCCTCTTCCTGCCCTAAGGCCTGGAAGGAGGAGAGGAGCACGATATTTACAAAAAATACATTCCACTGCATGAGCCACATC